ACAGGCGCCGCTTCATTACGCCTGTAGAGTAGGCAACACGACAATGGTTCGAATACTCCTCAACAAGGAGGCACTAGTCAATATACAAAGCCGCGACGGCACGACCCCTCTTCACTGTGCGGCTGGCAGCGGCCACTTGGAGGCAGCCGAAGTTCTGATCGAGCATGGAGCCGAAGTTGACATGGCTGACGGTGCAGGCATCACCGCTCTGCATCTGGCAGCATTTGGAGGATTCGTCAGCATTGTGAAGGCTCTGCGCAGACGTAGCTCTCGAAGCCCGCGGGATAAACTTGGAAGGGCAGCAATCCATATGGCAGCTATAGGAGGGCGTCCTGCAGTCATCGATCACCTGGCCATCGACGTCGGCGTCAGGAGCAAGGAAGACGAAACGCCTCTTCATCTCGCCGCCTTGTTCGGCCAAGTCGAAGCCTTGAAAAAGCTTCTGAGCCTTCCACAAGTGGACATATCAGCGCGGGACGAAAGTGGCTCTACGGCACTCCACAATGCCTGTCTTGTTGGCCATGACGAGTCCGTCCAGGCTCTCCTTGATGCAGGCTCTCCTCTGGAGTCTCAGTCACATATGAGCTCGACGCCATTGCTTTGTGCAGTAGAGGGGAATCATGAGGGCACTGTGCGGTTGCTCATTGAAAGAGGCGCCAACGTCGAGTTCCGGAATAAACTGGGACAAACAGCGCTGCACATAGCGGCTTTGGAGAAGAACAAAGCCATCGCGGAGTACCTCTTGGGTCAAGGAGCGGACATCAATGCCGGGACAGAAGCTTCGAAAGGAACACCACTGCACAGCGCGATTTCATCGAGTAATCCAGACTCGAACTCCGTCACACGATTCCTCGTCGAAAAGGGGGCCTGGCTCGAAGCCACTGATTTGCAAGGGCAGACTGCTCTACACATGGCGGTAAAGCAGAGTGCTGAAGAGACGATCAAGTTGCTCGTCGAGCATGGAGCAAATATGGAAGCTAAAGATCATCAGGGTTGCAACCCGGTATATTACGCGTTTTGGAAGCCAGACATTCTTCGACTGCTCCTTGAACTGGGTGCAGAGGTCAACGAGGCTTATCCCGATGGATCAACCCTATTGCATTGGGCAGTGATGAGGCAGGCCAAAGAGACTATCAAAGTGCTTGTTCAGCATGGAGCAGATGTCAATGCTCGGGACAAGGCAGGAGACACGCCGCAAAAGATCGCGGAGAGCGTGGGTTTGTCTGAATGGTGGGAGGAGAATACATGTAACTGATCTCTGTCAAGCTAGTTTGGCTTCAGAAGGAAGACATGAGGTAGAAGATCCCTATCAGGTGCCAAAGAGGGACGGAGAAGCCTCGATCCACACCTGCTGATTCAGCATCTCATCCTTGGTCTCCCAGGGTCTGGGTTTCCCGGTTGGCATATATTCCCGAAACCCCGCTGTACCAGTTTCCTCAGTTCCAAGTTTTCGAGTAAAAGTAACGACCCAGAGAACATTTGGACACAGACCCTACGAGGCAGTTCAATTCAACCTCATCAACCCCCATCAAATTGATGCTTACCCTCCCACGGCCCAACTCCTCCCCGCGTCTCAACCCCAACACCCTGCAAGAAGGGGTCTGATGCTTTTATTCATGCAGATCAGACTTAGCCCTACTACAAGTGCCGCTTGCTATGCCCAATCGCGACCAGCTCGGGTCTTCTAGTCATTCAGCTCAGGCAGACAGACAGACAGACAGACTGCATGCATGCAGCAAACAAGCACCACCTCCATCCTCTTCTATCTCTCAGACAGACACAACTGACGGCTCAGACTCAATACTATACATGTAGCTTGCTCTGCATCCTCACATCTGAGTCATAAAGCGCTGCCTCCCACATCAAACCACCAGGAACGCCCAAAACCAGGCCTCTCACGCCATGTTTTCAAACTCACCCCCTTCCCGTTCCCACTCAAGCCCAGGCACCAGAACCTCGCCCCGTCCGTGCCTCTTGACAACCCCAAGCCCGCTTCAGCCTAGGTAGTATCTAGTAGCCACGATGCGCCCCCCAGCAGCCAACATGGAAGGGTCCAATCTGCCCTCTCCCCTATTTTCCTCGCCCGACTTTTCGCGCCTTGTCTTGAATAGGCAGCGCCCGAGCCAAAAGCTCTGCGCTAAGACGAGCCAGGGGTTGTCGTCGTGGGTTTTTGGTGCCGTTGCCTCCATGTTTCCTCTCCCGACTAACGCCTCAGCTGCCGGGACGGTTGCAGGGAAGCGATACCGTAGAAACTCGTGAAATTCGACTGAAGCTAGGTTTAGTAGGTCTGCTAAGTCACTTTTTTTTAGTAACATAGCCTTTCTACTATAGGAAAGTGATCTACAAGTACCTATAACTGCTAGTATATACTGCTATTTAATAATACACTTAGATTACTATTAGATTATAATACTATAACACTATAATATTATAATATATATATATTATAATAGTTATTTTTAAGCCTTAGTAATATAGCCACTTTAAGAATATAATTTAAATATTATATTAAGGCTAGCCTAGCTAAGATTAAAAAGAAAGGATTCTTTTTCTAAGCCTTATAAGTTAAAAAAGCCTATTTATTATATTAAATACTTATTTTTTATAAAGAAGAAGATTAAGGTTATCTCCTTTTTAATTTACTACTAAATTTATAACCTTAAGCTATATTATAAAGCAAGGGCTAGTATATAGCTTAAGAAGGCATTAAGTCTTTAGCCTCTAACTTTAAAGGAAGCTATAAGCTACTTTCTAATCCTACTTAATATAATTAAGACCTAGTAGTTTAACTATACTAGCATTTTATAAAGTAAAGTTTTAATATACTATTTAGTATAGCCTAATCTTAAATAAGCTTTATAAGACTTTTTTTTATAGTATTATACTATTAGCTATATAGCTATAATTTAGTAATTTTAAAAATAATTATAAAAGCTATTTATATAGCTTTATTTAATATATTTAAAGGTTTTTATATTTTTTAATAGCTAGTGGTGTAAATTTAAGTAAAGGTATAATATTATTTACTACTAGGTTATAAAGCAGGCTATATAATAGCTAAAGGAATTTATTTTTATAATAAATAGCTTTATTAAGTTTATTTAATATATATTTAACTACTACTGCTTAACTTCCCTTAACTAAATACTAATAATAACCTTATTAACCTGCTAATTTAAAAAAAGCTATATTATTAACCTTAATAAAACTTTAATTTTATTTAAGTACTTTAATAGTTATATATATAACTAGCTTAAGGCTTATATTATTACTAATAAGTCTAATTATTTTAAGTAAAATAAATAGCAGGCTATACTTATATTATTTATTTATATTAATAGTTAGCAGTATATTAAGCTTAAGTTAATCTTTTATAATATGCTATTACTAAAAGGCATAATTTATAAAGATAAATATTATTTTTATTCCTTTAATATTATAATTAAGTTTAATAAGACAGTATATAATAATAAGTAGTTATTCTTAAAGTAAATAATTAAGGAATTTAGCTATATTAATCTTAATAAAAAATAGCTACTAGTTATAAATATAGCTAGCTTTTATAAAATTAATAATATACTATTTTAACTTTATATTTAAATAGTTACTACTACCTTTATTTTATTTAATATAACTAGCTAGCTATAACCTCTTAATACTACTATTAATAAACTATTTAAAAACTAGCTATATAATACTATAGCTAAATATATTTTTAAATATAAAGCTAAAGGTAAAATAAAGTAAACTATTTATAATAAATAAATTATAATAATATTTATTATTATAAAAGCTGCTAAATAACTATAATAAAAAATAAAGATAATATAAAAGGCTTTTTTTTAATGCAGTATAAATTTCTAGCTAAATAGCAGCTAAGATTATAAAATTAAGATTAAAAATATACTATTAAAGGTAATTAACTTTAAAAGCTAGGAGAATAAAAAGGATATTTTAATAATAGCTAAGGAGATTATTAATATACTTTATAATAATAAGAAAATAATCCTAAGTAATAAGGAAGATCTATTACTTATATATTATATATTTATAGTTAAGATCTTAAAGGACCTTTATAAGGCTTATAAATTACTAGTCTTTAATAAGAAGCAGGATCTTATTAATTAGCTTTTAAAAAATAATACCTTAAATATAGTTAAAAAGACTATAATACTTAAAGTACTTTAATTTTTAATATAATAAAATGCCTCTTCTTTTTATTACTTATAATACTTATAAAAGTAATTATTATACTATTTTTAATACTTTTCTTATAACTTAATATAGTAAAAATACTCTTTCCCTTACTATAAAATAGCTTTTACCTTTACCTTACTTCTCTTTTTAACCTAGCTATAGTAAATGCCTTCTTTTCCTAGTAAAATGCTAGTTTTTATACCTAGGCTTAATAAATTACAGTATTTAAAAGTATAAGTCTATTTAACCTTAAAGCAGAAAGATATATTAAAGTTATTTATTATATTTAATATAGCTAAATTAGTATATAGCGCTTATAATTAAGTATAGCTGCATATATAAATAATATTAATAAAGCTAGCAGCATTATTTAAAGCTATTATAATTATATATTTTAGTTAAAATTAGAGTAAATAAGGGTTTTTTTAAATAGCAGTATATACTAGCAGTTGCAGGTACTTGCAGATCACTTTCTTATAGTAAAAAGGCTGTGTTACTAAAAAAAAGTGACTTAGCAGACCCACTAAACCTAGCTTCAGTTGAATTTCACGAGTTTCTACGGTATTGCAAAGGATCAGGACCGTCGTCAGGAAAGTTGTGATTCGTTCAGCTGGGCCAACTGGGAATGAAGCGTATTTCAAGTCGTATAGTAACACAATCTGGCAGATTGATAGTAGTATATATATATACAGTACCGTCTCTCGCGCACTCCACTCACTTACACGAACGTCCAGTCTCTATCGTGATACCTTCACTTCCTCCCAACCACACTCCCCCGACAACCCCCGTCAAACTCAGCCAAAATGTCTTCCAACAAGGCGCTCCTCCTCCTCACCCTTACGGCCTCCGCCTCCGCAGCAATTAACTACATGGCCATCCCCCAAGTTCGCGACCTCCTCCCGGCGCCCACTCCCGTCTCCCACAACCTCAACCTCGCCCGCGACGCCGCCGACGACGCAGAGTGCGCCTCCTCCGCCCTCGACCTCCTCCAGTCCCTCCCCACGCCTCCCCCGGCCCTGCTCTCCGACCTCTCCAAGAGCGCCCAGCAGGAGCAGACCGACCCTTGCAAGCTCAGCTTCCCCGCCAGCCTCAGCGACGACGTCTCCTCCTACAGCTCCAAGGTGCTCTCGTGGTACAGCGGCCACGAGGCCGAGCTCACCTCCCTGGCCAAGCAGTGCTCCGCCGCCCAGTCGTACACCGGTCTCGTCAACGTCTGCACCGATGACGACTCGTCCGGTTCTGGCTCGGCCGCGTCCAAGACGGCCGATGCCACTACCAAGACGGCTGGTGCGGGCGCCGCGACTTCGACGAATGTCGGCGCTGCTCATGAGACGGGCATGGCTTTTGCGGCTCTTGCTGCCGCTGGGATCGCTGCCATTCTGTAAACGGCATGACTTTAAACGAACATTCATGAGGGACATTGAGGATAAGGCGGATGCTTATGGTTCAGCACGGCATTGCGAGACAGGCACATATGTAATGATGAGTACGGGTCAGCTGATGAGAAAGACTTTACAATAACTATCTAATCATTCTATAAAACAAGAACTATGTAATAACTCAGAGGAGTTTCCATCTTGCATCTCGGTATTCGACGAGTGATTACATGCACCACAAGTGACTCTGTTGCCTAAGGTATCTAGCTCCAGATTGCTTGTACAGTCTTGCAGAGAGCTCTTCAGTGATCCCGGCTGCGAATGGTAAAAGTTCTCAAGACCGACCGCCTGCAGACTAATATGAGGACACATCGACAATGATGTACGCGAGCTACTTCTATAACTGGCTGGCAATGTCAGGATCTCGGGCTCAACACGTCCATGACCAAGGATTAGGTACATAGACTACATCATCCTCTTGCAGAGCGAAAAGTGACAACATATTAGCAACTATTTTATATACTTAGTTAACCAGACAAGCCCAACCACCTTCCAGTCAACCTCCCCTTCCAGCCATGCAGCTCTTGTAAGTTTTGGTGCAGTGTCAAGCGCAACACAAACAAGGAATATCATATTCACGTAAATCCCACTTCTACGCCGTCTAAGCAGTGGTCCACATCTCTCGCCCATGTGTGCCTTTTTATTCCTCCGCCTCCTCCTCAATCTCCTCTTGAGCTTCTTGCATTTCCTCGTCCTGCTCCTCTGCGTCTTCGGCCTCATCCTCTGCAGCCTGCCCGTTGGGTGTCGCGTTGTCGACATCGGCCGCAACACCACCCTCACTTTCCAGCTTGAGCCATTCGTCCCATTCGGGGAACAGCTCTGCATCCTCATCCGGGACACCAATCAGCTTGGCTACCCGGCCCTTCTTGTTCTTCTCCAGGCTCTCCTTCCAAGTCCTTGCCGCGGCGGGGGCCAGGCTAGGCTTGTATGTCTGGGCAAAGAGAGTGGCCTCTACTGTCCGTCCAGTCTTGGTCAGAATCTCCACGCATCGGTCGATATCGCCTATTAGCCAAGATGCTGAGAATGCAATGTTGTGGGCGTTTGCCTCTTCGGCCTGCGTAACCAGCTTGGCCAGGCCTTCCTGGTCACCCGTTGAAGAGTACACAAGGAGAAGAGATCCAAGGTCCTTGGCGTGAGCAAAGCACTCGGCAGCAAGGGCGACATCCCAGGCAGTCAGCGCAGCATCTCCGACCGTCTTCCACTTGTGCTCCACATCAGCCTGTCGAGCCAGGTCAAGAGCAATGGAGAGCTGGTTCAGGGCCAACGCCAGCTCAAACTTGTGCTCGGGATCAGTGGCAACTTCCAAGGCGAGGTCCTTGTGTCCTTGGCCCTCCAGGAACCGTGCCACCTTGTTCAGCTGATCAGCAGGAATGGTGGGAAGCAATTCGGCGGCCGTCTCCATATCCTCCCGCAGAACCAGCGTCTGGTACTCGAGCACGGGCTGTGAGAGGGCAAACGAGGTGATGTTGACGTCCTTGTCGGCGAGGTAGATGCGGGAATCTCTCTGAATGTAGCCAAGAACGTACATGGGCTTGTCGAAGTGAGAGATTGTGTACGTCTGGTCGCCGACCAGGTAGTTGAGGCGGTTTGTGCTGTTGGTGTAGATGAAGCAGTCGCCAACCCATACACCAGTTCGGATGCTATGCAAACACACGTCAGTTTCTTTCTGCGACAACTCAAGATCAAGGATACCGCCAATACTTACGTCTCGTTAACATCGGTTATGACTTCAAAGGCAGACTCAACGCCATCCTCCTCTACCTGTCCCGACTGTACGGCCTCGATGTAGTTCTCGCGGGAGAAGCGCAGGACGTAGAATGAGTCCTCGCAGGCAATGGCCACCAGCTCGCCGCTTTCTGACCAGTAGACCTGCTTGGGCTCGACCTCGATTCTGCGAACGAGGCCACCGGTGGCCCAGTCGAAAAAGGAGACTCCGCCCTGACCAGTGACACCCAAGAGAACGCCTCCAGTGAGGCCGTCGGCCTGGAAACCCACGTCCAAACCTCCGCTCTTCTCCACAAAGTTCTTGAACACCTTGACGCTCATGGGCGATTCTCGGATGGCGAAGTCGTTGCTGTTCTCCTTCGAGGCCCACACAAAGTCCAAGGCAGACCCAAAGGCCTTGTTTCGCCAGGCCAATGCTGTGTAGATGATGTACTCTCCGTCACCGCAGACGGCAACGAACCGGCCATTGGGCGAGTGAATCAGGGTCTGGGTATACACTTCGCATGTTCCGAGATCTTTGGTGGTTAATGAGATGGGCTCACCATCCTTGATGGAGGCGTCGCCCTTGATGATGGCCGACACAACTTCGTTTTGCTTGGCCCAGATCAGCTTGCCAGAGGGGTCCATCGACACGGCGGGCTCCTCGCGACCGAGCTTGATCACAACGGCACCATCGTCATATCCGATGGCAACACCCTGCTTGCCCTTCTGGTAAGAGGCGCACCACGCTCTTTCCAGGTTGTAGCTCAGCGACTGCTCTAGTCTGTAGGTGTTCGCGTGCCAGAGCTTGACGGTTCCGTCTTCTGAACCAGAGATGATGACTGGCAGTTCGGGGTGGTAGCAGGCGAAGGAGACGTTGTTGGTGTGGCCCTCGAGGGTGGCAATCAGGGACTTGGTGGTGTAGTCCCAGATCTTGACGGTTCGGTCGTCGGAGGTGGTGAGGAGGTAAGGCTTGTCGGCGTGGGGATAGTAGTCGACATGGTTGACTCCCTTGGTCTCGTGAGCCTCGAGGGTGAAGTTGGCGGTGCCGGATCCCAAACTCCAGATCTTGACGGTCCGATCCAGACATGCCGAGGCAAACGTGTTTGTGTCCTTGGGATTGATGGCCAGCCCCATGACATAGTGGCTGTGACCCTCGAAGACCTGAACGCACTTCCAGCCCTTGTCCCAGTCCCAGAGCTTGATGCTCATGTCATCGGATGCTGTCAGAACGAAGGGCAGCGTAGGGTGGACGCAGATGGCTCTGATGTAATCGGGGTGCGCCTCGAAGGAGGTGATTTTCTCGGAGGTGTTGTAGTTGTAGACTCGCAGCTGGAAGTCGTCTGAGCCGCAGACTATCCAGTTCTTTCGCGCAATGAATCTGCCAGCTCGGACGGGGACGTCTGTAAGCTCAAAGGACTTGACGATCTGCTGTGTCTCGTACGACCAGATGTTTACATGGCCTGTAAGAGGAGGCGGTATTAGTGGCGGCCTGGTAGCTCAATGCTGCGATCTCGTGCTCAGGTGCTGTGACATACCGCTGTAGAGGGTGGTGAGGATCCATGGCTCCTGGGGGTGGAAGTCGATGCCCTTGACCCGCTCGCTGCGGGCATAAAGCTGGCGCTGTTGGCATGAACGAAGTGGTTAGCCAATATATACAGTTGCAAAATGCTGAGTGCCATTTTGACAGGCGGCCTCGGACAATGAAACGATAGCCAAGGCTTTCGAGGTCAAGCACGCAAAGGCGGACAAGGGGAGGGAATGAGAAAGCGACAAGGCGCAAGGGCGAGGCAAGGCCCCAATCAAGCGGCAACTGACCTTGACGTCCAATCTCATCTTGACGGCGTGGTCCTCCTAGGACTCCGGTCCCGCAGCTATTGAAGTGATCCTGTCGCGGACGGTCGGGGGCGAGGGCGAGGCGGCGGGTGAATGCAGAGCGCGGGGTGGTTTGAACTCGAGATGCTCCCACATATGACCGGGCTGGCGGATCAATTGTCGGGGCGAGGACGAGCCGGGCAGAGGCAGCTGTGTCTGCAGTCTCTGCAGCTTGTTGCCGTCGTCGGGGTTCGAGTCTCGAGGGTCGGGGGTGGCAGCAGACGCGGCAGCTGTTCAATTGGGCTGGACCAGCTTCTCGGAAATGTGTCCTGCTGGCGCTATATTGAGGCTACGGGCCAGGTGTAATCGTGTACTGCCAGGTGGTCAGCCAGGATGGCGTGGGTGCCTGGGAATCGAGGCACCAGCGAGGTGAGGTATCTGGAAAAGGGCCAAGCTAGAGGTACTTTATGAGTCCGCTAGACTGAGCGTAAGAGAAAGTACCTCAATGCTCGACCAGCCCACTTTGCGAAAAAGGGGGAAGCTGCACGTTTGATTGAGACTTTCTAGGGTAGCCCAGCGAATTGGAGAGGAGGGGCTGGTAAATCACAAAGATGGTCGTATCATTGCCAGTTTGCTCTATATATGCTGTCAATCAATATGTATTTGGCTTGATAAGGTATTCGCACAATGATGAGGTTTGAGTCGGCGAGATGGCATGAACATTCTCCAATATGGTCTGCTGGTTATCAGATCTAACAGTGTTCCAATGACGCGTCAAGATAATCAGGGCATGTATCACAGGTTGATGCTCAGAGATAGGTATGTAATTCACAAACCTGCACATGAGCCAAGAGCAATAGCATCCTGGCTCGAACCCAAAGTTTATGTAGTGTGAAAGGTTGCCACAGCTTCTCTCCCGTATCTACTCGCTCGTCCTGCGAGACACGTTGCAACACTACTATCCTACATCACGACTGGCTGTATCAATGAGGGACAAGCACCGTTGGAGAAAGCTCTCGCACAACAGACAGCGAACCGCATACTCGCAAACCGCTCGTCGCCACCAGCTCATTCAGCCACCAGTTACGCGTGTCCTCTCTTGTCCGGCTGTGGCTGCGCATCGTTGGCTGCCATCGATGGTGGTGTATCGGGTGTGGGACCAGGAACAGCTGCCCTGCCCATCAATGACGTACCGTCTCACTCTGCTTCTTAGGAAATTGTGATGATAGTAGTATGGCTCGGGATGAAAAATAGGTAACTCGATTGTCTGATCACTCTCTAGAAATCGCAGCAATGTATGTAAATGCTCACTTCTACTGATTTGTGTTTCGCCGCGTTGTCTCTCCCGCTCCATGACAATGACACGGTACTGTAGACCCAGAGTGAACTCCCGCTTACATACTCATGTACTTTGGCACCATGCAGCAAACCGTGCACTGTGCTTGGCCCGCGGCCACGATCGACGCAGCACCCAATCCGATCCCCAGACTTCCTTCTGAAACCGCTGTCGCACCGCGCCAAGGCCCAGCCCAGACACCGTACCGCGTGCCTACGATCTGCGACACGCACCGTGTGTCTAGCGCCCGCTGCAGGCTACGCGAGAGCCCACCTGCACTGAATGGTCGAGGCTACTAGCGGCTGCTACAGCGGTCGTTACCCGCAGCCCGGTCCCTGAATTTGGGCGGGCTCCAGCTCCGGCCGCACTGCTCCAGTGCTCAGTTTGCCCCAGATTCCTTCGCGGCTGCTTCGCCTCGTCCTGATTGTCGAGCAGCGACGTCTGTGTCCAAGCTTTCAGATACAGCCCGGATAAGGTATGTACTAATCGGCCTGATCACTTGCCCCTCTTGTTGCAGCCTCAATTATTCCCGCTTCATTTCTTCCCAGTTCCACGTCGTGTCTCTTCACGTTTGCTGCATCTGCTGCTGCCGTCGGAGATTGTTGACGCTGAATCAGACCTCCAAACACAAGCAGCCCGCACCCGACACAGCCCACAGCGCTATAACCCACCTCGAAATAGGGGCCGCCCTCCCTCGCTGCAGCGCCTTGAGCAACTGGAACCTCAACCGCTGCGGGGTTCCATCCTTGGGTCGATTGGCGGGCTGCCTGCGCTAAAACCCCAAGGACGGGAACCTTGGAACAGTCGCCCGTCTGGTCACATCGCCTCCAGCTGCTGCTGCTTGGCTGGCTGCTCCTCCATCCATCCACCTCAATTTCCATCTCTTCCGCCTGTCGGCTGCTTATCTCCCGGCCAGATTGGCTGCTCGCCCGACTGTCATCTGTCACATCCGCTCCTTCACCTTCGCTTCTATCTTCCATCTTCCATCGTTTCTGTCCCTCTCTTTTCTCTTCTTCCCTCGTTCGCATCCGTTATCCCGCTGAGCGGCTGAGCCGGGACCCGTCACCATGTCGTGGAAGCTGACCAAGAGTATGTCTCTCCTTTTCCCATTGTCCCCGACGTTCCGTCCACCAACGAGCCCATCTCCATCTCCCTTCGACTGGCAAAACGAGACTGACTGGCCTTGCGCAGAACTCAAAGATACGCATCTCGGCCCGCTGAGCGCGTTTTCCCGGTCGCCGTCGACCTCCACCATCACCGACAAAGACGAAAAGGGGACCAGCCCCGGCGCCACCACGCCGACCAGCGAGAATGCCATCGGTGAGCACCCCTCCCCGTGATCGATGCGCTGTACATGCCTCTTCTAACTGCTCTTGTCCCCTCTCGCCAGCTGCCTCAGAAGCCCTGTCGCAGGCGCCCGTTGTGAAGAAGCCTGGCATCCTGGTTGTCACCATCCACGAGGGCCAGGGCTTCTCCCTCCCCGAACAGCACCGCAGCGCCTTCGCCTCCAGCCACCAGAGCTCGCGCTCGTCGGGCGGCGCCTTGGCCGGCTCTGTGCGTCCAGATGGCCAGCGCGTTGCCGGATCGTATACCAACGGAGCGCGGCCGCACTCGTCGGGCGGCGGCTTCGGCTCGCTCCCTACCAACCATGGCCGAATCTCGGGCAAGTACATGCCCTATGCGCTGATCGACTTCGACAAGGTGCAGGTGTTTGTCAACTCCGTCGAGGGAAGCCCGGAGAACCCTCTGTGGGCAGGTGGAAACACCCAATACAAATTCGACGTTTCTAGAGTGACGGAGTTGGTCATCCACCTGTACATGCGAAATCCTGCGGCTCCCCCAGGGTCTGGACGCAGCCAGGACATCTTCCTGGGCGTGGCCCGCATAAACCCCCGGTTTGAGGAGCGACAGCCTACGACTGATGACGCAAAGTCCAGCAAGAAGGACCGCGAAAAGGCAGCCGATGCCCAGCGTCAGAAGGGAGAGGGCCACTCTGGCGTCGAGTGGGTGGATGTCCAGTATGGCACCGGCAGGATCAAGGTCGGTGTTGAGTTTGTGGAGACGCGGGCTGGCAAGCTCAAGATTGAGGACTTTGAGCTGCTCAAGGTCGTCGGCAAGGGCAGCTTCGGCAAGGTGATGCAGGTGCGCAAGAAGGATACCAACCGGATCTATGCGCTCAAGACGATCCGAAAGGCGCACATCATTTCTCGGTCAGAGGTTGCCCACACGCTTGCCGAACGATCTGTGCTGGCGCAGATCAACAATCCCTTCATCGTCCCGCTCAAGTTCAGCTTCCAGTCGCCCGAGAAGCTGTACTTTGTGCTTGCTTTCGTGAATGGAGGCGAGCTCTTCCACCACTTGCAGAAAGAACACCGCTTTGACGTCAACAGGTCAAGGTTTTACACGGCCGAGCTTCTCTGTGCCTTGGAGTGCTTGCATGGTTTTAGCGTCATCTACCGAGATCTGAAGCCGGAGAACATTTTGCTCGACTACCAGGGCCACATTGCGCTGTGCGACTTTGGCCTGTGCAAGCTGGACATGAAGGACGAAGACCGGACGAACACGTTCTGCGGCACGCCAGAGTACCTCGCCCCCGAGCTTCTGCTTGGCCAGGGTTACAACAAGACGGTTGACTGGTGGACGCTGGGCGTTTTGCTCTACGAGATGTTGACGGGTCTCCCTCCGTTCTACGACGAGAACACCAACGAGATGTACCGGAAGATCCTGTCGGAGCCGCTGCACTTCTCGGACGTGGTCCCTCCTGCTGCCAAGGACCTCTTGACCAAGCTGCTCAACCGGGATCCGAAGAAGCGACTCGGGGCTAATGGCTCAGCCGAGATCAAGGCCCATCCGTTCTTCCATGACATTGACTGGCGCAAGCTCCTGCAGCGAAAGTACGAGCCTACTTTCAAGCCCAGCGTGGTAAGTCTAAATCCCCCGAGTGACTGAAACATGCCCCTGAATTGGCTTGCTAACGCTTTGGCTCTAGACGGATGCCATGGACACGGCCAACTTTGATCCAGAGTTCACGTCCGAGGCGCCCCAGGATTCGTATGTGGAGGGCCCGATGCTCTCGCAGACGATGCAGGACCAGTTCCAGGGCTTCAGCTACAACCGCCCGATTGCAGGCCTCGGAGATGCCGGCGGAAGCGTTAGAGATCCTTCGTTTGTGGGCAGTCTCCAGGACAACTAAGAGTCTGGACACGTTTTATATTTTCTTTTCCGGCGGATACCAATTTGAGTTGAGACTAGATCTAGAACCAAGATTTGGAACGAAAAGACGGGTAGCGTGGGGGAGAATGCGACGAGAGCAGACACGGAGAGAGAGCCTTTGGACGTGCGAGGGGGGGAGGCGGAGAGGCGTGGGACACTGTCCAACGTTGGCTTGAACAATTGCATGATGGGCCATACGTCTATGGAGTTTAGCAGGAAATCATGTTTGGAGTTGACTCCTTCTTGTTTTTTTTAACCCGTCTTTTCTTTTCTATTTTTCTCTAAGCGACTCAATCTCTTGCAGAGAGGTACTAGTCAAGCGCGGTTTAAGGTCGAGGAGGCTCGTCTGGCGAGAAGTAAATGGCAATGCAAGGCAAGGACGAGGCAAATGCGGTGGACGGACGGACGGACGGACGGACGGATGGACGGGTCGAAGCCAGTTGTCGGTAAAGGTTGCTTTGTAGCCAAGATGACTCCGAGTTCGTTGAATTGTTGCACGAATACATACCTAGAGCGTAACGGTGATGTCGTGTTGAATGTTGGCGACATATGACGTGAACATACGGTATATGTATGTACAGTTGTCCAGTGGTCTGATCAATCACGACCGGAACTTTCCGAAGAGAATCAACCGACGGCAGTTACCGAAGTTGTGAGAAGTCAATGTCGACTTGGAGCCTCAAATTAGGTACTACATAGCCCCAGCATCGGATCCCATGACTGACTGACTGACTGATGCATTGATACATTACCAACCTTAAGTGCTCGACCGTTCAACCATTGCGTTTGATCCCATGTTTCGACATCTGCTTAGCTAAGCGGGCCGCAGCCTGTCGGGTATCCACATCGCTTAGGTAACCCGCCCAGCAAGCACGGCAACTGGCCAGCCAAGTTCCAGCGGTTCGCCAGTGAGGTCATACCCTGAAGGTTCGGTGGGTTGGGCAAAGGAGGGGCTCTGGAGTGCAATCTCCATAGAAAGTGTTCGTCTTAGCATCAGGCCAGGCCAATTGATCCATAAGCTCCAGCTTCGACTTGGATCCAATTTGCCTGGGAGCTCCAGCTTAGGTTTGCTGCTGCCTACGAAGCCTCTGCCGTGCTTTTCCATCTTCTTCTCTTTCCCGGCACTCGTCGTGAGGCATTTCGATCTCGTCTGCTTCGCTTCCCACCACCATCTTACACAGCTTCGTCTCATTCTTCCTCCTCTACACTCGCCGACCTCTACCCACCTCATCAGATATCCTCGGTAAGCTCTTCTCTCTTCTGTCTCTTCTTCTATTGCTGCTGCTGCTCCTCCTCCTCCTCCTCCTGATCCTGCTTCACCCCGCATCGCATCATCGTCGGATACACACAAACACGAGGGGAACCAGCTTCTCTCCTGCATCTACGCCACCCCCACCACTTACCACTTCAGATCCGTCCATCACTCAGCCATGCATCAGCATCAGCGCCGGCTTCCGCGTTGCCCGGATTCTATGCATTGCTTCTGCTCGGACTGGGGCCGTGCAGCCTTAACCACTTCCGACCTCGACTCCATGCCTCGAGCCGTGCTGCAGTGATAGCCCATGAGCTGTTTATATGTTGCTCTTCCCTAGCTACCTTTGTCCCTGGTCTCTCCTCGTCTTCACGATACCCTCGCCCAATTGACTCAAGCCCTTGCTCTGCCTTGCTTTGATAGAAGCAGACCTTTTACTTCACCTGGTGGCTGATTGTCACTTCAAACTGCTTTGCTCAATCCGTTCCACAATCATTAACCTCTTCTCTGCTTCAATCCAGAACTCCTACTTCAACCACAACCTTCCAACAATGGCCCCGACAAACACCCTCCCCGCCTGGTCGGAGCTCCAGGCTCACCGCGATGACATCGCCAAGAACTTTGTCCTTAAGGAAGCCTTCGCCTCCGACGCCGACCGATTCAACAAGTTCTCCCGCACCTTCAAGTCCGACGGCGTCTCGGCCGACATCCTCTTCGACTTCAGCAAGAACTTCCTGACCAACGAGACGCTCGACCTGCTTGTCAAGCTCGCCGACGAGGCCGGCGTCGAGCGCAAGCGCGATGCCATGTTCCGTGGCGACAAGATCAACTTCACCGAGAACCGCGCCGTTTACCACACTGCCCTGCGAAATGTCGGCGGCTGGGAGATGAAGGTCGAGGGCCAGGACGTCATGAACGGCCCCAACGGCGTCAACAGCGTCCTGCAGCACATGAAGGAGTTCTCCGAGCAGGTTCGCAGCGGCGAGTGGGTGGGCTACACCGGCAAGAAGCTGACCAACATTGTCAATGTCGGCATTGGCGGCTCTGACCTGTGAGTTTCCGAGCTACTTGAACGCGTCTCTCGACAAGTTGTTTCTTCTAACCCACCGTCTTCTTTTCTACAGCGGCCCTGTCATGGTCACTGAGGCTCTCAAGCACTACGGTGCCCCCGATATGACGCTGCACTTCGTCTCCAACATCGACGGCACTCACATGGCCGAGGCTCTCAAGGCCTCCGACCCCGAGACCACCCTCTTCCTCATCGCCTCCAAGACTTTCACCACCGCAGAGACCATCACCAACGCCAACACCGCCAAGGCATGGTTCATCGAGAAGACGGGCGGCAAGGGAGACGTGGCCAAGCACTTTGTGGCCCTGTCCACCAACGAGGAGGAGGTCACCAAGTTCGGCATCGACAAGGCTAACATGTTCGGCTTCGAAAGCTGGGTCGGCGGCCGCTACTCCGTCTGGAGCGCCATCGGCCTGAGCGTCGCCCTCTACGTTGGCTACGACAACTTCCACAAGTTCCTGGCTGGTGCCCACGCCATGGACAAGCACTTCCGCGAGACGCCCCTGAGGGACAACATTCCCGTCATTGGAGGTCTGCTCGGCGTCTGGTACGCTGACTTTTTCCAGGCCCAGACTCGCCTGGTTGCTCCGTAAGTTTTGGCCTTTGCCCCTGAACTGGATGAACAGTGTATGCTGAACGAGAGCTGTTAGTTTCGACCAATACCTCCACCGATTCGCCGCCTACCTCCAGCAGCTGTCCATGGAGTCCAACGGCAAGGCCATTACCTCTGACGGCTCCTCCGCCAAGTACACCACTGGTACGTATATGCTGCCTCTGGGGATATTCTTTACCTTGCACGAGACTAACCAATCCGCCCATCACCAGGCTCCATCCTCTTTGGCGAGCCCTGCACCAACGCCCAGCACTCCTTCTTCCAGCTCGTCCACCAGGGCACTAAGCTGATTCCCGCCGACTTCATCCTGGCGGCCAAGTCGCACAACCCCATCCACGACAACCTGCACCAGAAGATGCTCGCCTCCAACTACTTCGCCCAGGCCGAGGCCCTCATGGTCGGCAAGACGGACGACCAGCTGCGCGCCGAGGGCACCCCCGAGGAGCTCATCCCCCACAAGCGCTTCCTGGGCAACCGCCCGACCACGTCCATCCTCGTCGGCGACGTCATTGGCCCTGCCGAGCTGGGCGCCCTCATTGCCTACTACGAGCACCTGACCTTTGTCGAGGGCGCCGTCTGGGACATCAACAGCTTCGACCAATGGGGCGTCGAGCTGGGCAAGGTCCTTGCCAAGAAGATTCTCAAGGAGCTCGACGAGCCCGGCAACGGTGAGGGCCACGACGCTTCCACTGGCGGTCTCATTGGAGCTTTCAAGTCGTTTGCCAAGATCTAAGACGTAGCTGTCATGGCAAGGGATTTGTAGCAAAAGAAACACAAGAAAAAACAAGGTGGATGTAGGGATGGACGGCAAGCGATGAGTCTCTGATGTAAATAATGAAAACAAAAGCAGAACAAATGAATAAATCAATACCTACCTCTCACAACGGGAGAAATGACGCGAAACAATGGGTCGAGTAGATGAGAGCTTTTTCCCCCTGAGCTGATGACGGTACCAACGTGAAGGATGATGCAAATAATGGGAAAAAACTGGAGATGAAGTAAGTCGATATCAAAGTAAAAGAACAAAAGTGACGTGAACCAATGCACTTGGTAAATGAGATCTTTTTTTCCCTTTCGATGTGACTAGGTAGGTAGGTTGTGTGAGCAAGGAGTAGGGGTCACTAATGGAAATCTCATCTGCTCTGATGTCAAGTACTGGAGCAAGAGTAAGTGCCTCTCGTCGTGGGAGTCTTGTCACAAGGATCATCACCATGATCGTGATCGCAAGCATCATGATATTGCTGCTCCTCCTCGCCTCCGAAAGTTGTAATGAAGTTCCTCTCCAATGTTCCTCTCCAAGGACTGCACATGTACATGCAGTAGCTTGCCTACAAACACACCCACCTGTTAATCATAATGCTACCTTACCAATCTCTGTATTCATAGGCATGCACCCGTGTCGATGAAGTATTAAAGCTCAGCGTCAACTGAGTCCCAGACGACGCACAGAATATGCCTCTCCACACCTGGGCGAACGGACGAACTTTCATGCTAGTAGTAGGTAGTAGTACTACAAGACGGAGAGAGCACTAGCATGTGGTTCTCTCCATCTAACCCTACCACGTTTTTTTCGTCCTTCTCCACAGCAACCCATTCTCCCTCAGATTATTTTCCGGGGCGCAGGATGCACACGCGCTCATTGGGAAGGTCATATGGGGGAGGGGAGGCGGGAAGACGGGGACATGGAGAACGAAAAGGATGCAACCGCCAACATGCGGGATGGTTGTATTTGCGGTGATGAGCGGTTATTACATTGAATTGACCAGCTGTATGTACAGTAGATGTAACAGGACAGGCCGGGAATAACACAGCTGCTGCACAGATGGATAGATGGGCAAATGGAGGGGCTGAGAATGGGAATGCCATCCCATCAACCTGGCATCTTTCTTCGGAAGCGCAGTGCTACATACATACAAGTCCTAGTAACGAGAATCCGTAGGGACGGGCCATCTGGCGAAGAAGCTGGTTGGCTGCCAATGTTCCCATGCTTCCTATTAAAGCAGTCGGAAGGGCTCGGTATGGAGCGCCGAGTGGGTGAATGCGCGGGACAAGGCTTGGAGAGCCGGGCTGAGGGAGGCTAATATGGCTGGCTGAAAGCGCAGTGACACTTTTTGCCTGTCGATTAAAAGTGGCCTGCGTTATACGAACGTGACGTGCCCGAGATCGATCGTGAAGGCGTTTGTCAGAGACTAGACGTCGACGTCGCTAGGATGAATCATTACTAGCCGTCGTCATCTGTGTTGATCAGCTCGCCCTGCCTGCCTCAGATCCTGCCTCAGATCGGCACTTTGAGACTATCGACGAAAGACTCTCTCGGCCAGCATGACACCCCGAGGGAGACGAGAGGCAGCCAAAGCAAACACATGCCCGGAAGAAACACATGCAGCCGTATGTATTAAAACTCAGCGTGGCAGCGACAATCAAAAGGGTGGCAATTAGGCGGGCGCAGATTTGGGGACCCAACACACATGGTCAATAATAACCCGCCGCTGATATCGTGGGATTCTCTGGTGGATGACTGTTTCGCCGTTATCTCGGGCAATCCTGGAGGGGTGAGCTACTGACACATCATATTAGCTGCCGTGGGTGCTCATGCACGAGACAGCGAATATGGCTCAGCGATAGGGGGCGGCATGTGTTCTGCTCCTCAGGCTTAGTAGAGGCGGGCTGACGAAGGTGAGTTGAGTGTATCGTGACATGATATGGCCTCTGTCCGTTTGCCATTGCCTTGTAATATCATCACCGTCATTCGGGGAATCCGAGTCATGTCCAGCTTCTCCCCCTGCCGCCTGTTGCCGCCTACTAAACCGCCACCGTCCATGACGGTCCCAGCAAACCAACGTGCTCCCCCTGCATCCCGGCCTTTGCCTGGATAGGCTCGATACCGAGCCACGATAACAGCCAGCGCCTTCTGCGCCCTTTTTGCCCGCCCCCTTGCATCCCCTGGCCTCATGCCGCCAAGAGGACGCGAAACGGTGGTCTCCATAATCGCGCACGGAGGCGGACGGTGGTTGGCCGGTTACTCACGGGCGGTGCGGTGGAGCTGCCCCCTCGGAGCCGGCGGAGGCGCTGCTTTGGGGAGTTCGGGGAGAGCAGCCGTGCGGTGATGCAAAGTCCCAAGCAGCCGCAGGGTAACGCTGGCGAACATGCAAGTACCTGCTAACGCGATGCACCGTCGCTGGGACGCCATTGGGTCCGTCGTCCCGGGGGCTCGCGAATGCGGCCGGAGGAAGCTGATGTGCATGAGCACGAACGGCGTTGATTCGACTCGAGGTCTCGTCTAGGAGCCGCGGCGTATTGCGGTGAGCTCGTTGTCAGGGGGCCTCTGCAACGTGGCTGCTGCTCTATCGACATACGACGCATCAAGGGCGTCGTAGCAGGCGAATCTCAACCATTTGCCCTATCTTACAATGTACGGTATCAGCTACCCGCGACTGGGCCAAAGAACGACGCCGACAAGAGACATCGTGAAGCAAACCGAGCTACCCATGGCTGCTTAGGATACACGCTGCTATCTGCTGGTGCCAATGGAAAAAGCGCGCAAACACTCGTCCATGTGTCGGCCCGTCTTCTGGCTGAGACTTGGCGTCTGGGTCCGACAACCGCGCGTGGCTGTGAGTGGTTGCAATGGCGGATAATCCATGCTGGGACGGCTTCAATGAGCCGTCGTGGATGTTGGGGCGTCTAGTCTCCTGGTGGCCTCCGTGAATGCTTTCTATGTATATGCAATACTGTATTAAGTAGATTGACAATGAACCCGAGGCCAACATGCTTGACACAATTAGACGGCTCTTGTCGACTTTAGCGGGTAGCACGGCCGAGGCTCGATGGACAGGGTCGTTTGTCGATGGACAACCAGCCAGCTTGAAGCCATTATCATCGTCCACCGGTCTGCCGCGTTTGCAATGTGTCGTGATGCCAATGGGCACCTGCACGTCTCACAACCTGTTTTCTCGTGACGAGTGATTTAACGCGAATGTGTCTCGTCCGCTGGGGTGAGACATGCTGTAACGAGACGAAATGAAGGAAAACCTGTTGGATTTGAAGTGCAACCCGACGTCAACTTACATTAGAGGACGAGTTGGAAGCAAGGGCTGGCATGCACATCATGGTAGCTAGTATGGCGAACAAATATCAACGTGTGTTGCGGCAACACGAAGAAAGAAGCAGAGATCGACATTAACATGCTTCCCCGCCGTCATGTATTGGTGTGAGAGGAGTTGGAGCGGAGACGGCCATTTGAGGGGGATTCCCACGGGGAAGAGGCGTGAATATGCAGATGAGTCCTGAGCCGTACGAGGATATGGCTTCGGATGGATGTTTGTTGCAGTGCCGACGCAACCCTCTTCTTCCATACTTATCCTTGGTGCAAAGACACTCGAACTGTCGAAGCAAGGGAGGAGTGTTGTAGTTGATGTAATCTGCAAGCGTTTCCGGGGATAAGCTGGTTTCTGGTCAAGCCGGAGAGGATGACTGCCGTGGACCTTTGACGATGGCTTCTCTTCAGGAGAAAGTCAATTTCCTCCAGAAAGCCTGCTTGTGCCGGACGCCGGAAACTCTCATCTTACAGAATCCATTGTGAAACATGGCTCCTGGCTGTACTGTACGGTATTAGCTGTGATGTTTTCGCGGAACAACTTCAAGGTGGAGGCATCCCCAAGATACGTCATTGTGCTTCGGACCCCTGTGAGCGACGATCGTAGATACAACAAGACGCGTGCCCGATGTCCATGACCTCCCCTAAGTATCCGAATCTGCGCGCAAAGGGGGGAATGGCGTGGTCAAGAGGGGGGCTGTCAGAATGGGAAATGATAGGTCGAGGGCGGGGATGTTGGACTAAGAGGGTGTCGGGTGTGGAAAAGCTCGGAAACACATGCCAAATAGCATTTGCTGAGGTGTGGCGTTCAGACAAGCTCCGACTGTGCACCGTCTTGCTATACCATCGTCAAAAACGCTTCCGCACTCGTTCTCTGTCCGCCACGCAAGGAATTGAACAAGAAGAACAGGGCCTGGCGCTTGTCGTCCATGGCTTCGAGCACAGACACGAGGCTGACACGGCAGGCTGCATGATGTCGTCTGGGAGCGGGAATAAGCTGAGCGTGCCGAGGGCTGAGGGGTTGAGGGCCGAACCCTTTGGCTTGACGCAGGGTTCAACTGTAATCCCGTAGCGGCTGCATCGCGTCGCATCGTCAAGTCTCGGCACACTGTAATGGTGCGTGTTCTGTGGTGTATCGTGTTGCATCGTGAAAGCAAAACCGGCCAAGCGCCCGTGATGTCACAAACGACGTCCAGTCGAGCACTAACCCGCTTCCCACGGCGGGGGGTCCTTCGGCGACCTTGGCTCCCCCGTAAGGTGAACTGGAGACCCCAGGCCGCCACCAGCAACCACTGGAGAGCCGGCGCGGCTCTCGAGAGGCCCTCAGTGGCAGCCGTGGTGCCCGTTGTAGTGAGCCGGATGACGTTAGTCTAGCGGTGGGCCATGAGAAACGACGCAAACCTGCATGGAATTCTTGGTTTCTGTTTGGCGTGCCACCGGGTCAGTTTTAGAGCGATGGGGCGCCCCTCCAATGTCGAAAAGCAAGACGCTGCTGCTGACGGATCTCGTTTGCAGGAAGGGCGAGGGCCAAGGCAAGGCGAGGCGAGGCACGACGAGGCAAGGCAATGAAAGGCAAGGCGAGACAAAAGGCAGGGCGAGCCAGGGCGAGGAGACGGTCTGACGGCATTCCTGGGAAGAACGGGCTGGCTGGACGCCAGTCATGATGATGATGCAGCTGCAGGTTTGCTGATGTGGCACAGCGCGGCCGTTTTGTTGTTTGCACAGCCGTTGTTGGGATGCTCTGACGCACAGAGACGAGATGAGACGAAAGACATGAACCAGGCTGGAGACGAGATAGTCAGGCACCAGATGGCGAGATGGGACGAGGAAGAACCATGGACGAGGCGAAGAATGAGGCAAAGTTGGAATGACGGACTGCAGTGAGTGGATGGAGTTCAAAGTACCTGGGTACCTACATACTGCGTGCATGGGCCACGATACCGGCAAGGACCAGCGACACGGCAGGTACGAAGCACGAACCAGCAAGCACGAACCAGCATCGTCCGTAAATGCAGGTGCGTTCCTGCCTTCTAGACGGCGGTACCAGATAAGAGACGCTGCACCGCACATAACGGAAGGTCACTCGACCCGCTTTCAAGGTGGCTCTTGCGCCACGGCCTGCTGGAAGCCACGCCCCATGATTGGCCAGCAGAGAGGCTCATGCCACTGGACAGCTGTACTGGTACCTGCTGCTTCTCACCTCATGCCCTGATGCGTTGTTGGACTGATGGGATGGTCTCACCCGTACGACGTAGCACGAGGCCTGGACCACTCTGGCATTGACACGGCACTCAATGCAACAATGGCATCCGATGGCCGCTGTATGTTGTATCATGTAGAGCATCGAGTACTTCCACTCGTACCTGTACCTGCGCTCTCGAATGGGGACCCCCCCTGTGGATCTGGCGGTACAAGCTGCATGTACTCCCTGGACTCGGTCCACACCCCCCCTGCTGTGACGATGGTCGATCAGCTTCAAAGTCCCTCCATCTTCTTCGCCTGTTGGACCCGATTGAGGCGCCATCGTCATCGGGACCCCCTACCTGACCTCTGGCCTGTAATACTGTCCTGGCTGTATGTCCTGCTACCACCTGGAGCAGCCTTTCGGTGGCTCTCGTGCTTCTCGTGGACTCTGTCAAACTCATCCTCGAATTATTATAAAGCTGGCCGGACTCCCGCTCCTCCTACTTGACTCTTAGTTCCTCTCCATCATCAACCAGCTTTCACCACACAAAAACTCCCATTTCTCTTTCTCTTTCTCTTCCTCCTACAACCACCACATCGCCAACTCTTCCTTCTGCAACTCCAACTCCTTCACTTCTCTTCTCTGTTCTACTCTTCTCCACCTACTTCACCTACCGCAATCATGGCCAACGCAACTGGCAAGAAGGCAGTCCACTTTGGCGCCGGCAACATCGGTATGTCACTTATATGTAGATGCCGTTCTGCGTCTTTCGTTAATGCTAACAACTTCCAGGCCGTGGCTTCGTTGCTTGCTTCCTCCACAACTCGGGCTATGAGGTCGTTTTTGCCGACGTCAACGGAGACCTGATTGATACCATCAACTCTACCCCCTCCTACAAAGTCATCGAGGTCGGCTCCGAGGGCACCTCAGAAAACGTCATCACCAACTACCGGGCCATCAACTCTCGGACTCACGAGGAAGACCTCGTTGAGGAGATCCGCACTGCCGACGTCGTCACCTGCTCCGTCGGCCCCAACATCCTCAAGTTCATCGCTCCCGTCATCGCAAAGGGCATCGACCGCCGCTCCGACGACGAGACGCCCCTGCACGTCATTGCCTGCGAGAACGCCATTGGCGCCACCGACACGCTGGCCAGCTACATCAAGGATGCCAAGAACACGGATCCTGCCCGTCTCGAGACGCACCACCTGCGTGCCCGCTACGCCAACTCGGCTATTGACCGGATCGTGCCGGCGCAGGACCCCAATGCCGGCCTTGACGTGAAGCTGGAGAAGTTCTTTGAGTGGGTTGTCGACAAGACCCCCTTTGAGGACATTGGCATCCCGCCCATTGAGGGCATCCAGTGGGTCGACAACCTGGAGCCCTTCATCGAGCGCAAGCTGTACACGGTCAACACTGGCCACGCTACGGCTGCCTACCACGGCTACTACCGCAGAAAGCGCACCGTCTACGATGCTCTCCAGGACAAGGAGATCATGGCTGAGGTCCGTGGCGCCCTGACCGAGACCAAGAACCTGCTCGTTGCCAAGCACGGCATCGACGAGGAGGCCCAGCTCGCCTACATGAACAAGATTATCAAGCGCATCGGCAACCCCCATTTGGAGGATGCTGTCGAGCGTGTCGGCCGCGCTCCCCTGAGGAAGCTGTCGCGCAAGGAGCGCTTCATCGGCCCCGCCGCCGAGGCCGCCGAGAACGACATGCCCGTCAAGTACCTCCTCGACGCCATCGAGATGACGTTCCGCTTCCAGGACGTCGAGGGTGACGACGAGTCCAAGGAGCTCTCTACCATCATGTCCGAGAACACCCCCGAGGACGTTGTCGCCAAGGTCTGCGGCATCAAGCCGACGGAGAAGATCTACCCTCGCCTGGTCGAGGTTGTCAAGCGTGTGCAGGCTGACAGCCAGGAGGAGTAACTTGCGATGGCTCTTCTGGCGTTCTAGCTCGGCATCACTCACGGCGCTGAGTGGTGACCGGCCTACTGCATCTGGCTTTGGGCTTCTTTTGATCTTTTACTTCTACTTTTTCTCTTCTACAACTTGTGTTAAGAATGCACGAATGAACGGCAAGGCGCTGGGTTCCGGGTTAATAGAGCATCGTCTCTTTTGTTTTCTATTTTTTTTGTACTCTGCTAGGGCATTCCTTGACGGGAACAAAAGGTGCTCGGGATATCTTCATGGGAAGCTTCAGTCTATAGATGGACTGAGCAGGCAGCATAACGGGTCAAGATACCACATCAATAAAAGCAGACTTGATCATGACCTTCCTTTTCATCCATCATTGCAATGTCCTCGTAGATGTAGCTCTAGTAGCAGGCAATCTAAATGTGAGGTCACCATGATCTCAAGCTGAAGTTTCCACAGCCAGTAGTAGACTTCTTAACGATGCAAATGCAGCCACCCCGTCCAATACGGCTCGGTAGGAACATTTCCTCCAATCCGTCAACCAACCCATCTCACGTTCCGGCTCGGCAGCTAATTAATCAGCCCAGGCCATGACAGGCGACACATTGGATGGAAGTTCCGTCACACACATCCGCTAAAGCATGCCATACCCTTTGCTAGCACACCACCCACACCCAACCAGTCATGCCGTTCCGTCCCACCACCCCCTCTTAATCTTGGGTACGTATATGGATGGATGGATGGACAGACGGCTGGAAGGACGGATGGATGGATGCATCCCTGAGAATTACCCAATTAGGAAGGGCACGATGTGTGGCCGGCTGATTGGTCCCTGAGCATTTCATTCCTAGTGCCCTTCTTTTTCCTTCTTCTTCTATTTTCTCAAGGGGCAGCCTTACGCTAGGTATTCCAATACGTAACATGTTGTCTCGAGGTATGTCACTGCAGAGCAGGTCAAAGCAAGACAAGGCTGAGTCTACAGGCACCTGCCTCCATTCTCGTCTCTCCGCATAGTAGTAGTACTACCTATTTAACCAAATCCCGGACTACGCCGACCATGGACAACATGATGTGAGACACATCTGGACAGAAGTGGGCAATGCCATTTACAGCCTCATGCATGCCACTTCAGCAGCTTGAGCCCTTGCTGCAGCATTATCACAGCACCTACTGGGACAGTACATAGGTAGTAGGTAGGAAGTATGCAGGTAGCACTACATGGACATGCCCCCTCGTGGCCCCCTATTTCTGCGCGCATTTCACGCACGACAATTCCTCACACGAGTTGGGGAACGGAAAGATTACTGACAGGCCCTTGTTTTATGCCGACTCGGTTCTGGAACCAAACGAATTGCTTAGCGAGAGCATCATGGATGTCTTATAAGTGTCTTGCATATTCGCTCAAGGCGGTGAGCGCCACTGACTTATCCTTCAGATAATATCACAGTCGACACAAATTGTGTAATACAAGGACTCAAGAAGAACGCTGTCCAAGCCACTGCATGCCACGTAGGTGCCCGTCTAGAGAATCCTTCGGAACATCACCAAATTCGATTTACCAATGAGGGCATAAGTAAAGCGTCGGCATCAGGAACATGCAAGGGGCAGCAGCACCTTCTCGTAACCAGACCATGAACCCGAGTCTAGATTTGGCAATTGGCTCAGCCTCAAATGCACGAGAATGTCTACGAATGTCTGCGCTCGATTCTGTATGGCTCTGTGAAAGGAAACAGCATCGCACAGAGCATCATGTGGTGGCCCTACGTGACCAGACGAAATGCCACGAGTGCTCCAATGGAGAAATGTCTAAGACCATCTTTTGAAGCTCGACGGGGTCGGGACGGGATGCATCTTCCGGTACGTGTGGGAACGAAGGAATGTTTCAGAGGGAAACAAAAATACCACATCTCGCACACCTCCTCTACCCTATATCGTCGCCTCGTGATTCGATTCGAGGGTCGAGGAATGTTGATGGTGACAAAGCCAGTTGGGAGATTTCCGGACTGCTCAAGCAGCTCCCCTCTTACCTGCCATCATGAGCTGCATAAGAGCAAAAGGGCAGCGGTAGATTCGTAGGGTTGCCCTGCATGCATGCATGCAGCAGCAGCAGCAGCAGCATCATCAGCATCATCACCTGCAATATCAGCAGCCTCACTCACCTTTGGCACTGCACAGACGTGCATGCTCCTACGAGTGCTGTTGGCGTTGAACCCTGTCACCTTTGCAAAGTATCTGCACAAACCCTTGTGGTAGTAAGACTGCTGGTCGTACTTGTACCACCATGCTGCTCGAGATACTGCTCCTCTTCGGCCATTATGGTCGTGTGCCGTTCGCCGCAGCCTCCATCACGGTTCCCGTCGATCCGGACGTCGACCCACTCCCGCTGTCCATCGCCGGCACGGTGACATCGGCGTCGGAGCTGCTTCGGCAGAGCTGCCCGGAGGAGTTCCCTCCACACACGCCGTACTCGCCAGAGCTGCTCATGTCATCCTTTGCCGACTTTGGCGCTGACAATCAAGATGCATTCGCCAATGGCACGATCTATGAGTCGTCGGACAGTCTCGTGAGAGGCGCCATCGAAGCATGGGGCCAGCACCAGAGCTTGATCCTCCGGCCTGACGAGGTCTGGTTCGAGATCCTGGCGCAGCTCAACTTCTACATGACTGCGCATGCCGAAGACGTACGACATCTGTTTGTCGACCACGAGGGCAAAGAGGAGATCCAGGTGTGGCGCCTGTCGTGGCGTGACGTGATCGCGGCGTTTGGCGGCGAGATCCAGAAGAGGGTCAAGACCGAATGGCTGCTCGACTGGATCATGCCAGGCTTCACCACGAGCAGCGACAACGATGGCCTCACGGCCACCGTGCTGATGATGGGCCTCATGCAGCACTACTTTGAGTTCAGCGGCGGCATCATCTGCGGCCTTCCCGAGGTGACGCTGCTGGGCGAGAGGGACGACTGGGTGAAGCTGCTCGAGAAGCTGGACAGGCTGAAGGAGTGGGGAGAGGAGCCGGCAGACTATGCCGAGCGGCTGCGCCCGATCCTCACGCGCTTTGTCGGCACATGGGACGCGCCAGACAGCGACGAGACTAAGGACTTCTGGAAGAACATTGTGCGGTCGCAACGACTGGTTTCCTGTGGCGCAGGGCCCGCCGACTACAGCATCTCCGGGTGGATCACCGGGTTCCTGCACTGGACGGTCGAGGGCAACCTGCGCATCTCGCGCGAGGCTGAAGAGGAGTTTGTGCCCTCGGACGGCGACGTGGTGCTCGACGGCGTCCCGTACTTTTCGACACCGCTCGACGACGTGCCCGTGGGCTACGCGAAGGCGCCGCTCAAGATGCTGGACTACCCTCGTCAGGGGGGCGACTCGATGGCGTATCTGCTGGCGGGCAACGTCGGGGTGAGGAGACTGGCGGTGGCCTCAAGCGACACGCCGGGGCTGGAGCAGTGGAAGGTGACGGCGCAGCCGATGAGCGCCTGGTTCCTGTTCGGACCGGTCAATGCGAGCGTCGAGACAGGGCCATGGTACGGCAACGGGGGGGAGCTGGCGAGGGCGGCGGCGGGGCTGGGAATGTGCGAGACGAGCACGGGCACGGGCACGGGCGGTGATGATGGCGGGCTGATTGGCGATGTTGGCGATGTTGATGGCAGTCTGCCGGTGCTTGATGGCGATGGCGATGATGATGATGACTTTGACGATGTTGATCTGATACCTTACTGGGGAGGACCTTGGAAGAAGACGAAGAAGGGTGAAGCCTGAGGCAGCCGGGCAATGGGAAGTAGCTGCTACTTTTAGGAGGCCGGTAGCCGAGGTCAGGATCTGACACCGCCGGCATGTATACGATACGTTTATGACCCAGAATGGAAGAGTGAATGAAAAATTGAATGATGAATGAATGCATCCATGGATCTCTCACGCTATTACAGTACAACGCATGAACTTCAAGGGTCCTCAGAGACATTACAATTCATCTGGTTAGCCGCTCTTCTTTCCCCAAAGCCTCTGCATTGCTCGAATATGCCAACAAACCTTGGACCAAGCCCATCTCTGCAGTTCAATGTCTCACGCTCCTCCCCCATGCCATTGATGATGCCCTTTCGTTCACCTTGCCACAAACACATCAGCGTTCTCACCATCAAAGCACCCCCTTCACAAGCCACCTGCAATGCTTATCCCTTGCAACGCAACGTTCATCCTGCCGTCCCCCTCTTCCCCCATTGGCCTCTCCGCGTCCCGACCGGCAGCAATGCAGCAGCGGCAACTGCTGTAGGATAGGATATGTATGTACGAGTATGTGAGGTGAAGTGTTCATAAACACACTGGCCAGCCGAGCTGCGAAATGCGGGACACCTCACTGCCCTTATACTCGCAGGGCGCCCTGTCCCCGGAGCTAGTGGCCTGTGCAGCGCTCACCGACACCTGGGAGCCGCTGGTTGGCCCGCCCAGGGCCACTGAGGGCCACTGCGAGCCCACTGTGTCTGCTGGCAGAGCCCACTGAGCCCACTGGGGGGCCCCCTGCCGAGGCGCTGGCCGGCCAATCCGCCTCTGCCGCACGGCTACAACAAGCAGCGGCACAGAGCTCTCCACAAACTGCAACTTCAACCTTCTTCTGCAGCCACTCACGTCTGTTTCCAGTCCGCTGCGATACCTGATCTGATCTTTGGAGTCCAATTGCGAGCCCGACGATGATGCTGCCGTGACGGCCAATTGATCAGACGTCTCCTCCGGCCTGTCGCTCTCACACTGATCTCACCACCAGAGCTCCCGACTCCGATCATCCAGTCCACCTTCTTCAGTCTCCGTCTGTGTGTCTGTTGTCTCCGGGTCTCATATACATACTTGGGGCTCTCTCCCCTGTGGTTCCCCAGATCACATCACCAAGGCAAAGCACAGGCAGAGACAAACGCAAAGCATCTCTCGCTTGCATCGTCCGTCTGCATCGTCATCATCTGATCCAGCGCGGCAGCAAACGAGGGTGCCCGATATGGCGACTGTTGTCCAGCAGACCCAGCTCCATACTCGGACGCGTACCTCTCGCGTGCCCTCGTCCTCGAACCGCCCTCTTCGAGCAGCCGCCGCCGTGGCTGTTGCCGCTGCCGCCTTTGCCAGACCTGTGCGCAGCCTTGCGAGGCCCAAGCCTGAAGCTCTCGAGATCCCGTCCGGTGGCGCTTCAGCCACTGCCAGCCATGCCCCTGCAGAGCCGTCCTCCAGCGCGGCCATCGCCTTGCCCGGCCCGGCGCCTCTGTCGCTGTTTTTGACCAACATCAAGCTCCTAGATCTTGACCAGCTCCCCGACTGGCCTGAGATCACAGCCGAGACATTTGCCGCCTCCGGCACCACCTTGCAGGACCAGAAGAGGCGAGTACAGTGCGTAGAATGGGCCTTGTATCAGCTGTTTGTCATCTGGGATCCCGACGAGGCAGCGAATGTGCGTATCTTCCAACTCTCCTCCTTTCCTTTGACTGCTAGACAAGCCCTGCAAGTGACGTGACATGGTGAATTTGCCAAGGCTAATACTCCATTCCCTCCGCAACAGAAGCTGAAGCCTTACTACCCACCTGCCGACCAGCTCCAGTCTGTCAACCTCCGCGCCGCACTCGTCAGAGCCCTCGAGCAAGCCAAGAAAAATGGCGACCTCGGCAGGGACACCATCATTCGCAAGACGATGCTGGATGAGTGCAAGGGCGAGAGGCTGGAGGAAGTCCTGGCCTTTTTTTCCACCGCCGTCCTGAAAAAGGTCGTTTCTGAAAGCCTTGCCGCCAGTCACAGCTATGTGACGCCCGTCGTTGAGCTCGCCTTTGAGAACAAGGGCTACAAGAGTGAAAAGTCGCATCTGATTGCCCTCTCCATGGCCCACAAGGCTTCTATCCGACAGCTCTTGCAACGCAAGGAGGCTGCTCGAGCTCGCTTCCAGGGATTCGCCAGAGTTCTCGACGACAAGGAAGATGAGATTATCCGTAGACGAGAGGCTCTTGAGTACAAGGAGATGGACGGCGGCGGCCAGACCGTCTCTGACAACGCCAGAGCAGAGATGCGACGGACTGTGCGCCACAACTGGTCGGGCAGCGACGCCTGGATGGAAGCTCTCTTGTGCGGAGATGCAAAGCATGGCGGCCTGCTGGCTACCAAGTTTGACAGAGTCTGGAGACGAGCCCAGCAGGGCCGGCTCGACGAGCTCGACACGGATGATGTTGGCCTTTTGGAGCAGCTGGACAGCAGGGTCAAGATGCAGAGGGACAGGCTCCGCAAGTGGGATGCTTTTCGCAGAAGCACCTTTGGCGAGACGAGGGCCACGCCGACCAAGCCCAGGGCATCTGCTGCCAAGGCAAAGGGCATCGACCTCGGCTTCTCTGCTCACCTGGACTTGCATACCGGTAGGAGAGTCAAGCCGACCAGAGCTGCACTGTTCCAGCACGCGCCCCAGATGACGGACGATTACGCCGCGCTGGTCTCGGATCTGAAATACGAACTGGGAAAGATCACGACCAAAGAGGTTGACATTGCGTCTCTCGTCAGGAAGCGAGCCCCTGTGAAGCAGGATCGTCGCGACCGTCGCCTTCTTTCTACCTCGTCGTTTGAGGGCTTTGGCGATGATGACGAGATTAGTGACTTGGAGGATGCTGAGAATGCGTTCCGCACCGATGGTTCCGTTACGTCCTTCTCGTCCCTGCAGGACAAGTTTACTGCGCCCGCTCGCGCCGTGAGGCCCGTAATATCTCGACCGAGTCTCTCCCAGCCCCCTGGGGGCTCCGAGCTGCCGGCCGATGCAGCCCGGCCGACCCAAAAGAACTTTCCTGGACGAAGCACCTACGACTTGACGCAGCTCGACGACTCGCCGCTTGCCGCTCCCCCTTCTCTTTCCCCGCAGCGCAAGGCTACGGGATACCATACGCCGACATATCGTCGGTCACCCGAGGCACCAAAGCCAGCTGCTAGGCAAAAGGCGCCGCAAAGCCCGCCACGGCTCTCCCCAACCAAGGAATTTGCGGCCGGCGCAGATGATATGAAGGGCATGACTCCATCGCCCGTGAAGCGCACCAAGCCTCGACACACGTTATCCTTGGCTGAGCGGACTCGGCTCTCGATGAGCCGTAAGAAATCGCTATGCTTCGAGGATGAAGAGCTTGATCCGCCCACCCCCATAATGCCTTCTCCCATGCCTCCAATTCCGGCTGTGAACCCGGATTACTCAGAGGATCTTGCCAGCCGGACTCGTCGAAGCATGGCCGGGTTCGAAAAGGCCCAGCAGAAGGCTCAGATGGAGCGGCGTAGGAGCCTGAGAAGGGCCAAGGCGCCTCCCCGAAAGGAAGGCAGCTACTTCCCGAGGGTGGACGAGGATCTCAGCGAGACGACTCAGCTGTTGGAGCAGCTGGCTGAGGAATCGGATGTCGAAGCCGTCTTTCGGTCGCGGCCCAAGATTGGCCAGAGCCTGCAGCCCAGTCCTACGAGGGACGAATGGGCTGAGATTCCGGCATACAATGGATTGAGGATGAAATGAGGGTTGTAGTAGGGTGTGATGGTCCTTTTGATGACTTCAACTTGGTGTTTATTTTTTTTTCCTCCATTTCTTTGAGCGTTTGAGCATGTAAATATGATGGATGACAAATAGATATTATATGGGAATGGAACCCGATGCTTCCACGACAGCATAACATAGGATAACGGCAATGGATCGAAGTCCTTGACTTCACTCGTAAGAGCATCTCATTGTTTGCATGATGGTATGCGTATCCCATCGTTGTATTGTACATGCATATATAAAAGTGTACCTTTGTATGCCTACCTGTCATAAGGTATGTCCCATTGAGAATGCTCTTCATCTTCCCCAAACGTACAATTTCCACCTCGAAATCTCCCGCCCATTTCTCATAGCCATTGAGTGTTCCAGTTCTTGGCATGCATCTCCCCCCTTTGCTTACCACCCCTGCTTCTTCAACTCCATAACCTTGCTAACCGCCGCCTTGAAGCCTGTCTTGAACCTTGCCCTCCACCGCTGACTCCTCAACCTCTTCTTCTTCAAGCCCTTCCTCTCGTGAAACTTTTGCGAGTGGTACTTGTTGCGCACCTTTTGCTCGCGGCACATCCTCTCCAGGACGCGGATCGCCACGGCAGGCGTGGGCGCCGACGTCGGCGACAGGCGGTCCCTGATGAAGACGGTGCGGCCGGAGACGGCCTCGGTGCGGACCTTTGGGCGGAGGAGGGGGTCGCCGACGTTGAGCGACTGGCCGTAGGCTGCGGAGCGGGCAGCGACGATTTCGGCAATGTCGAAGTTGAAAGGGGCGGAGGAGTCGGCGGCCGTGTAGGGGAATTGCGTAGACGAGGATGAGGAGGAAGAAGACTTTTCAGAGGAGGCTGATGGCGATGCTGAGTCGGCGGGAGGTGGAGGGGGAGGGGGAGGAGGGACGAAGTCGGCCGTAGATGCTGGTGCTTTCTCTGCTTGAGGCTTTGGTGCTGCTGCGGCTGCGGCAGGCTTTGGGGCGGGAGTCGGGGGAGTAAAGTTTCCGACCAGAGGGTTGATTCTGTCGTTGCCGTCGAAGAGCGGCCTTGAGGCGTTGAAGCGCATTGCCAGTGATGTGGAAAAGGCGCGGGCCTGCGCTGGAGCGGCTATTCGGGACAGCATCACGCTGCCGGGTCTCAGTGATGCGGCCCTATAATTGATCAAATCAGCATACATGCCTATACGCATAGATATGGACCTGTAAGAAGCGTCACTCACATCGAGGGGAGGTTTCAATGGCTTGCAGCAATCCAGCCGTCAATCAGCCCATCAGCATGGATCAACCCCAAGATCTCGAAGGTCGTCGGCTGCGAAAAAAGCTGCGGGCGGATCAACGTTGATGCGGGGCTGCCCCAAGTTTTGGCTACAACCTGCAGAAACCGAAAGCCCGCCAGCCATTGATCCTAGCCTCGCGCCCTGCATATCACCATCTCCAACCTTCCAGCTTTTTTTCCTCCCGTAAAGCTGCGAACAAGGAAAGCTGGACACGCTCAGCACGGAAGAACTCGAGACAGAGGCACTGCCTGCGTGCTGATGCCCTGCGGCTTCGATCTGGTCCGCCGTCGCGTCTCAATGCAAGCCAAGAACCCTGCATACTGAGGCCGCTGCGACTGACTGGAGATTCTGTCTGGCTCTTCAGCTAGGAGCTCTTGTGCTGCTTGTTGGCACGAGCTGCGATACTTGACCCTTTGACCTTTGATTCTCTTAGGCGGCGCAAACACTAGACGACAGGCGACAAAAAAAAAAAAAACAACAACCGAGAAACCACAACTCCCGTCCTCTCCTCGACAAAGCCGGCGTGACGCTGCTTCGTCGCCATGGCGTACAACCAATATGGGGGTACTTACGGCCGAGGACAGCCCAGAGGGCGATACAGATCGGCTAACGGAGCTTCAGCACCGCACGTTCCCTATGGCGCGCCTCCAGGCTATGTCTATCCGGGCGCGGCGCCTGGCTTGGCTGCTCCTCCTGGCCTAGGTGAGCATCTCTTCCCCTTCCTCTGCGTCTTTGTCCAGGGATACTGACTCCAGGTGCCTCAGGTCCTCCTCCAGGCATGTCTCCTGCTCCGGGAATGGCCCCTCCGCCGGGCATCCAGCAAGCCAACGTGCCTCAAGCTAATCGTCCAAGTGGTCTGCCACCTGCGTTCCAAGCCCCGACCAACATGCCTAACATCAACTTCAATGCCCCCGTGATTCGCCTGGGCACGGGAGCCTCGTCCGGTGGCGGCAGATCCGACGACCGACCTGCACAATCGGGAGGAAGAGCTGGGCTCGGCATGGAGAGGGGATCAGATCAAGGGCGAATGGCGGCGCGCGAGAGCATGCAGACGCTGCTGCCACCGACGAACGAGGAGAAACTACGTACCATCTTTCTACACCAATTACCCGAAGGAATAGGCGGTGACGAGGGCACGAAGAAGCTGCTTAGTGCAGTCGGCAGGCTGAAGCGCTGGGATGCGTTCGACAGCGTGTCAGAGGAACGCAAAGGAACCAAGTTCGGCTTCGCCTTGTTCGAGGACATTGACTCGGTGGCTACTGCTGTCAAGCTTCTCACCGAGGAAGAGGTGCAGATTCCCACCAAGAAGCAGCCGAGTTCGAGCGAAGCCCCGGCCGACGACAATTTTGACGATGTCGAAAAGACCAAGCTACAGGTGGTTGTCGACCCCACGTCTCTGAGCTACCTGGAGACGTACAAGCAGAGCAAGGGAGACGATACGTCTCTGGAGCAGAGAATCGAGCAAGCCCGCGAGGCCCTCAAGCTGGTCCTTCGAGACCTATTCCGCCCGCCCGTTGTCGAAACTACCGACGCTAATGGCGACGTCGCGATGGGAAATACTGCGGATACTGAAGAGAACGTGGAGGTGGTCAACATACCCCTGGCTCAAGAGGACGAGCTGGCAGATATCCCGCCCGACATGAGGGAGGTTGTGGCGGGTGAAATTGCCGCTTTCCGTGAGCGAAGCAATCAGCGCGATATGGAGCGGTTGCAGCGAGAGGAGGAACTCGAGGAGGTTGAACGACGACGAAACGGCCCGGGCCGGTCAAGGCTCGCCTCGCCGCCGAGGAATTCGAACAACGTGCCACTGGGACCACGAGGCGTTTCCGTACCCAACGCTCCCGCCGGCCCCAAGGGTCAGAACGGGCCGAACCGAGGAATGTCTTTTGTCAATGGAGGTGTCAACAATGCCGACGGCACTCTAAGACAGGAGGACGAGGACACTGATGCCAGTGACGAGGAGCTTTGGAGGAGGCGCGAGGCTGTGCGCAAGGCTGAGGAGGACAAGATGTACGCTGAAGCAGAACGAAAATGGGTCAACAGAGAACGCTCACGACAGGCGGCGCTCGAGCGAGAGCGGGAACGGGAGAGGCATGACCTGGAGAACTTTGAACGCAGAAAACAGGAGCAGCTGGACCGAGAAGTGGGATGGGACGACGACCGAGAGGCCGCCCGTAAGACGCACATCTACTACCGAGACCACGCCGCCTGGGCCAGAAAACGGACGGCGGAACGCATTGAGGAAGAGGCGCGAGATGAAGCCGACCGGCAGGCCGAGAGGATCGAGCAAAGCCGCGAGCAGGCCCGGCTGGAGCAGGCGCGTGGCATGGCGGACTCATTCCTGGACCAGCAGGCTCGGGAGATGGAGCAGCGCGAAGCTGCCGCCGCGGCCGCGGCCCCTCAGCCGTTCAAGCTGTCACTCGGTGCAGCGGTCCAGCGAGCACAGGCCTCACGAGCAGCACCGCAGCGACGCACGATTGCCGAGGTGGAGGGTCTGCTGGACGACGAGGAGGTCGAGTCTACCAAGCGACAGCTCGTCCCTATCCAGATGGACGCCTCTTCTGGCGGTGCGGGCATGACGGAGGAGGAGATTTCGCAGGCCGTGCGCGCGCTGGCGCAGGAGATTCCATCGGACAAGGAAGGACTCTGGGCGTGGGAAGTCAAGTGGGAGTTTATGGACGACGCGGTGGTGCGCGACAAGCTGCGACCGTTTGTGGAGAAGAAGATTGTCGAGTATCTGGGTGTGCAGGAGGAGATGCTGGTGGAGGCCGTCGAGGAGCATCTGCGCAAGCATGGCACGGCTGGCGAGCTGGTGGAGGAGCTCGAAGGAGTAAGTTTTTTTTTATCCATCCCCGTACATTTGTGCTGGACAAGTTTGAGCTGACTGTATTTCACAGGCGTTGGACGACGAAGCAGAGGATCTGGTCAAGAAGCTGTGGCGTATGCTCATCTTCTTTACGGAGAGCGAGAAGCGAGGCCTGCCGGCTTAAAGCGACGAGTCGTTGTCACCCTGGCGCGAGATGCCGAGACGTGTGTTGTTTGTTTCATCCCGCCATCCCGGTTGTTACTCTGTTTAGCTCCACTCATCTCTTCCTTTGCGGGAGTTGAGATGCCCAGAGAGGCTTTTTCCTCTTTGCACAGTCACTTTCTTCAGTGCAAGGTGCGAATAGGGCAATGGAAATGGAGACCGGGGTGTGCTGGAGTGAAAGTGATTTCTTGAACGACGATTATCGAAAAGGCGAAAGAAGGAAAATCTGTCTTGTATGTACAACTAAGGGGGGGGGGGGGGGGATTTTGGGCAAACAGCCCGGACTTTTCGACACATTGTGTAGGATTCATTGTATGTATGTTATAAATGAACTAATAATTGCTCACTTTCTCGGGAAAATGGCTGTGATGGTATGAGTTGATGTGTTATGTGGAGAGAGAGTTGCCATGGATGATGAAGTTTTGTTGTGATGTGGTCTATCTCTCCAGGCGAGATCCCTGTAAGCCGAGTATTACACTCCTGAATTCCCCGATAACAACATGATCATGGACATGACTTAAATAAGAGAGATAATACAGAAGATTAGGACGGAGCTCAAGATCAAGAATATGATCCAGATCATCGGTCAAGGTAATTGACACATCTATTTGCAACCCCTCATGGATCGGTAATCTCATCACCACCTGGGTCTTCCGAAAAGAGGCACAGCAGCTCACCAACCGACAAGCCTCGGCTCCAGCCCCACACCAAAGGCGCGCGTCACAGCTGGTGCTTGGTGCTGGTGCTGACCAGGTTGTTTTAACAACTAGGACTCGTGGCGAGATTTATCACCGCCGGAACTCACCTCTGTAGAAGAGAGAAGCCCAACCACCTCGATTCAGTTCCGCAACATAATTATACCTGACATACGCCAAACGAACGCGACTGAGCCGTCGAGTAAGCGGCCATGAATCATAGCTCTGCAGTGTGTTGAGAACAGCCAACCTCATTGATTCTTTTGTTTGATTTGTTGGATGAAGTTTGAGCGGGAACAGGCACGAGAAAGGCAACAGGGCCATCACATCAAGTGTGAGAGAGTGACGAGATATTGAAAAAGGAAAAGGAGAAAGAGTCTCATCGAGTCTGGCACTTACTCGGTCCTCATATGCCATCACCACTCACCTACGCCCTATCCGCGTGCGCGCTCGCCCCTTTGACCAAGCCACACACCTGAAGCCTCGCAGGAGAGAGTCCAAAGAGACCAGACGACGGACCAAGTCATAGACATCATCACCATCATGGCCATCTCCATGAGCTCGCCGCCAGCCGTCGAGGACGTCATCATCACGGCGCCGCGGCCGCACATCCTGCTCGTCACCATCAACCGCCCCAAGCAGCTCAACTGCATCCGCCACGACATGCACTACCAGCTCGACCGGCTGTGGACCTGGTTCGACGCCGAGCCGGCCCTGCGCTGCGCCGTCGTCACGGGCATGGGCCGCGCGTTCTGCGCCGGCGCCGACCTCAAGGAGTGGAACGAGCGCAACGCCCGGCCCGAGGGCGAGCCGTCCAAGAAGGCGCCGGCCTCGGGCTTCGGCGGGCTGAGCAACCGGCGCGGCAAGAAGCCCGTCATCGCGGCCGTCAACGGGCTGTGCCTGGGCGGCGGCATGGAGATGATCCTCAACGTCGACATGGTCATCGCCTCGGTCGACGCGCGCTTCGCCCTGCCCGAGGTGGCGCGCGGCGTCGTGCCCATCCAGGGCGCCCTGCCGCGCCTCATCCGCTCCGTCGGCATGCAGCGCGCCTCCGAGATGGCCCTGCTGGGCCGCATCTACAAGGCCGACGAGATGCTGCGCTGGGGGCTCGTCAACCACGTCATTGCCCGCGGCAGCGACGTCGTCGGCGAGGCCCTGCAGTGGGCCATTGAGCTGGCCGACAACTCGCCCGACTCCGTCATCGTCGCCCGCCAGGGCCTGCTGAGCGGCTGGGACCCCGAGGACCCCCAGGAGAGCACCCGCCGCATCCTCAACGACGTCTACGCCAAGATGGACGGCGGCGACAACATGACCGAGGGCGTCCGCGCCTTTGTCGAGAAGAGGAAGCCCATCTGGAAGGACAGCAAGCTGTGAGACGGTTGTCTGCTCATCGACCGAGTTGTGAGCAAGTTGAGCGAGTGTAACACGTCATTCCGCGAGTATCACCACGACTGAGGAGGAATGGATTGGACAAAGGTGTCTCGGATCCTGCATCTCCGTGATGCAATGGATCAAGGCCGGCAGCGAGCATCACCTTGTCCTCCCATGCTTTGAGTGTACATATGACTGTTTTTTTTTTTTTTTTTGTTGTAGCACCAGCGTATCGTCGATCAGGTTATCAACAGCTCTTTTCTTGCTTTGTCCGACGTCCAAGGCACTCCCATGCACACTGCCGTAATAATCTCCGTCTGCAGTTAAGAAGAAGAGGAGGCTGCAGCCAGCCGTATGTAAGCCATGCCTTCGCAATGCGGAGAAGCGGCACCATGCGCATTACAGACTTGTCAGTCAAGGATGACGGTCTCTGTCTCTCTCTCGGTCTTGCTGGACCAACATGGCCTCGATTCTCATCTAGATAACGATCCGACTAGTTGGGAGCCGTCCTTTGCCAAGGACAACTCACGCCCACCCGCTGACTGACGCACTCACGCCTCGACATTGGCGCTGTCCAAGGCTGACGATCCCCCAACAGGCGGCTGTGTCGTGACCGAGATGATCCTCCCAGGCAGATCGGCTAATACGCTCTGGTCCAGGGCATTGATCACCACACCACACCCCGGTCCAGAACCAGGATGACGAAAATGACAAGATCCAGCACAGGTGGAGTGAGAAGCCCGCAGCCACCCAATCGCACGCACACGGCCTGCTGAACTGAAATTGCTTCCACGCCCAAAGAGTTCTAGGCACGGCCCGTTGCGGAGCCCCAAGCAGCTCGAGGGCATCCTCGGGCTTCGAGATTCGTGCTGGACCATGAGAGATTGTTGCAGAGCGGTTCGCAGACACATGATGAAACCCCAATTGCCTTGTCCGAGTAGCAATCCGTAAGATCCTTCAGAGAGCCAGGGAACTGCGTGGACGGCAGCAGCAACCCTCCGATATGCTCGTTGTACAAGACCTCTCCCCCTCAATGTTGCAGTAACACGGGTCGACCGAACAACACGAACAACAGCAGGGATCAGGGAACACAAACTGTGCCGTCCCGAGGGAAGCCATCCAGACAGCAAGTACAGTAGCACTAATGGACGGGAGAACCAGTCCAACCGCAATTTGAGCGATGGCTTCGTGCGGCTGGACGGTGAACGTAACGATATCTCTGCCATTTTGCGAGCATACCCTCAGCCGCAGCACAAGATGCCCGCCCTTTTGACTCAAACCTCAGCGTCTGACTGGCCGAATAATATCGGCGGGCGAGATGTCCGCGTAACAATCACCGAAGCTCGTCGTCCCTCACTGGTTTGCCGTATGACGCTCTGAGACATGCGTCTGCTCTTATGCGTTTCTCCCCCGCCCATATGCAAACTTGTCGTGAGTAACATCGAAGCGTCCTGTCGGTCCACTCGACCAAAGGGTCCCCGTCATCTCTCCCATTGGTCGCTGGTCCCCGGCATTTGACAGACGTGCAGCGATTCCGTCTCGACAGGGCAGCGATCAGCGATTTTCAGCCGGCTTCATTCAGCCTCTCTCCCTCGCAGCATCCCCACACGGCCGAGATGGACGGAAGAGGTGCGTCCAGAGGCTGCTGCATCGGGCTTGTCTGTCCAACGACTCATCATGCGAGAATCCGAGACAAGAGCGACACAGCGGCATCCGTATGAGTCGTCCGCGATGAGCCACCCTCATGATCCGAAAATACTAATAATAAGCCGCGGGCGCTCCTCCCCGTGCTTATCCTTATTTCGAGTACCCTAGGCTTCCTCATTAGCTTTCTTGGCCAGGCACAGGGCATTCCCCCCTGGCTTCGCCTCATCCTCCGAATTGCCTGTTTGGTCAGCTGGAATTTGAACAGCCCCCGTATACATAGCTCGCCATGGCTTCTGGCAGCATGCTTGACCCAAGTTCCGCAGAGCGTCCAAAGAGTCGCACCAGCCTCGACTGCAACACAGACGCCGTCATGGAACGCCCAGCAAGTCCCGCGCCGCAGAACAGGAAGCCGCGGAAGCTGATCCTCTGTTTCGATGGCACCGGTAACAAGTTCCATGGCGATGAGAGCGACAGCAACATCCTCAAGATTTTCCGTATGCTCGACCGCACTGCAGATGATCAGTTCCACTACTACCAACGTAAGTACATGTTCGCGAAGACGCGTGCCAGGTCGCGCTGAGCTGTCGCTACACATATCTCCACGGTCATGGCTGACTCCCGTCACAAGCCGGTATTGGCACTTACATCGTGTCCACCTCGCTTTCACACACGAGCATGAAGGCGCGTTTTCGGTCATGGTATCAGAAAGCCAAGGACTCAGCAGTCGGTTCCTCCTTCGATCAGCATGTCGTGGGCGGCTACCGTTTCCTGATGCGCTTCTACAATCCTGGGGATGAGATTTACATGTTCGGCTTCAGTCGCGGCTCGTACATTGCCCGCTTTCTGGCCGAGATGCTTGACTACATCGGCCTCTTGTCCCATGGCAATGAAGAAATGGTGTCGTTTGCCTGGAAGGCATTCGCCAACTGGCAGAGTCGCCGTGGTGGTGACAAGGACGAGAAGGCGGCCGACGAGGAGGATGGCAAGAAGCACGAGATGTATCACTTCATGAAGGGTTTCCGCGAGACCTTTTCACGACCTGTTGGCAGGATCCGATTCCTGGGCCTCTTCGACACAGTCAACTCTGTACCTCGGTTTGAGACGGCCTGGATGCAGCGGAGCAAGTTTCCCTATACGGCGCGCAGCAGCGCCAGAGTCATCCGCCATGCCGTCAGCATCGACGAGCGACGAGCCAAGTTCCGGCAAGACCTGATGTATCAGCAGGGGAACAAGCGCCATCGCAACCAGCACGGCCACTGGAAGAGGGAGTGGGACCACATGATGCGCCGCGGGCGAGAAGGCGGTTCCGTCGCGGACACAGACAGCGAAAGAGCGTATCACGATGACCGGGGCAGACGGCCCAGCCAGCAGACGACAGCAGCGGACAGACCCACGTCGGGAAATCCGCAAAATAGCAAGTATATGCCATACCGAGCCAGGTCGAAATCTGCGGCCCGAGGAGATCGCCGTCTGTCGGTTGGCTGCGACGCCTCGGAGCAGCTTTCTGTCGCGGAATACGAAGACGCCGGTGACGACCAAGACATTGACGAGGTATGGTTTGCCGGTGGCCATGGTGATGTTGGCGGTGGATGGCAGACGGAATCGGGCGACAAGAATGCGAGCCATGTGCCCCTGATATGGATGGTGCGTGAAGCAATGCGTGCTGGCCTGAGTTTCGACCTGGACAAGGTCCGAGAACTGGACTGCTACGACCTGTACAACGACAATGGCAGTGCCAGGTCCACCAAAGACCAGCGCGGGCGAGAGAGCGCGCCCAATATCCGTGTTAATGAGGAGGGCGAAGAGGGACATGAGCCTGTGATGCCCCCCAGTCCTGACACTATCGCGGATGACGAAGGTGAAAAATCCAAGGACGGTTTCGTCGACATGATGCACCAGGCACATCTCGCCCGCATCCACGATTCGCTTGAATATGGCGGCGGCCTCTCTCGGATGGCTGTCACCGCGTGGAACATGATGGAGTGGATGCCATTCCGACGGATGGACCTTCAGTCAGACGGGACCTGGAAGCCCATCAACTGGCCGCTGCCGCGCGGCGAAGTGCGAGACATTCCCAACAATGTGCGCGTCCACGGCAGCGTCATCCGGCGCATGAAGATGGACCCAACGTATCGGCCCGGCAATCTGATTGTGGGCGGTGGCGGTCGAGGCATCCGAGTTGCGCCAGAAGAGTACGGCATAGGCGAGTGGGAGGTTGTCCAGGAGAAGGGCGACCCGATTGGTGAGATTTGGATGCGCAAAGGCGATCCCGTGAAGCTGGACATAGATAAGAAGAAGAAGAAAAAGGAGAGCAAGAAGGCGAAGAAGGAAAAGAAGAAGGAAAAGAAGGAGAAGGACAGCTGAGTCACGGCTGGTGATGGTGGTGCTTGGTGTTGCTTCTCTGTTGCATGAGTGACGGAAACGCTTATACGTACCTGCTAGCTAGTGATTACGAGTCCGACGACGCCACGCAGCTCTGGCCATCCCTGCCTTCATGAAGATACCAATTTGGACTTAATGTAATGAAAATGGCATGAGTATTCGCTTCTGAAGAACTTCTTTCGTGATCAAAGTCGGTGCATGTTGTGTGTTGTTAGAAGATGGAAGCTGCGAGCCTTCAAGCTGAGGTGTCACGTGCAGCTCCCGATTGCCTCCCTCTCTTCTGCTCCTCCACCATCAGGCTGCTGACTCGACCACTCAATCCTTCAAAACTGCCAGCAATCTGGCCATTTGATGCTTTTCCCAACAACTCGAAAGATGAACTGACCGACCTGAACCTCCTTCAACCGACTCGCATCTCCGCAGCCCTCAAACCGGCCGTTCCTCCACGATGCCCGTGCCGACCATCTTCTACCTCCTGGAAAACGGCTTCCCCCCCATCATCCGCGACAATGCTCGGCCCATCTTGCTCACCATTGGCACCATTGCCTTCCTCGTCCTGCTGAAGCTCTACACCGCCGGCCGGACGAATACCGCTGAACGCAACCTTCATGGCAGGGTCATCATGATCACGGGCGGAACGAGCGGCATAGGGGCCCAGGTGACGAAAGAACTGGCGGCTCGCGGCGCTCAGCTCGTCCTCCTGACGCAGGTCCCGGCCTCGGATCCGTTCCTCGTCGAGTTCATACAAGACATTCGGGATAACACGGGCAACCATTTGATCTACGCGGAGCAGGTCGACCTCTCCAGCCTGTACAGCATCAGGAAGTTCGCTACGAAATGGGTCGACAATGCCCCGCCTCGGAGACTGGATACGATCGTGCTGTGCGCATCGACCGTGACGCCGCCAGGAGGGAAGAGAACCGTCACTGAAGACGGCATTGAAGAGATGTGGATGGTCAACTACCTGGCCAACTTCCACCTGCTCAGCATTCTAAGCCCGGCCCTCAAGGCACAGCCCTTTGACAGGGACGTGCGCGTGATCATTGCGACATGCTCCTCGTACATTGGCTCTCCCTCTCTGAAGGACGGGCTCGGAAACGTTGAAAAGGGCTGGTCTGCCGGCTCTGCTTACGCACGCAGCAAGCTCGCCCTCAACGTGTTTGGCTCCTATTTCCAGAAGCATCTTGACTCGTACAAGCGTCCCGATCAGCTGCCCATGAACACCCGTGTCATCTTTGTCGATCCGGGCCTCAGCCGAACACCGGGCACCCGGCGATGGCTGACTCGGGGCTCCCTCTTGGGTCTGGCGCTCTACCTGATCTTCTACGCCATCCCGTGGTTCCTGCTGAAATCGCCCCAAAAAGGCGCCCAGTCGATTCTCCACGCCATAATGGATGAGAATCTCGGACGCGGCACCGGCGGCAAGCTCATCAAGGAGTGCATGCAGGTGGACTTTGCGCGGAGGGAGATTACAGACGACGAGGTCGCCAAGAAGCTGTGGGAGGAAAGCGACGCCCTGATTGAGAAGACGGAGAAGGCCGCTGCGAAGAAGAGGGCGCTTAAGAAGGCCCAGGAGGAAAAGCTGGCCGAGGAGCAGAAGGAGAAGGAAAAGGTAGAGGAGGTGGAGAGCTTGGTGGCTGCGATCAAGAAGGGGAAAGAGAAGCAGAAGGAGAAGGAAAAGCAACAAAAGGGAAATGGCAAGGGCGGCAAGAAGGGGAAATGATTTCTTGTTTCACGACGACATAGCTGGCATATATAGAGCATTTATAGACTTGTTGAGATCCAATTAGTCATTCAGCATTGCTTGCACCATGAAGCTGAGGATGCTTGGCCCTTGTCGATATTCTTTACCGTACCCGTGATGGTGGTTGATGAACCTCGGCTTAGGTAAGACGAGCCGAGATGCCATCATAGCGACTTCATGCAGCTACCTTACTTTATAGCATCTTTGTCTCGACATGCTCATTCCGCTTGCTTGATACTCAGTTAATTCGAGCCACTGTGTAATTGAATCGCTTCAGCTCATCGATCATCTCCCCGCTAGTCATCATCTCACTGTCCATCATCCATCATTCCTACCTAGTACTCTACTATACCCGGGCAGTCAAACTGGTCCATCAGAAACAATGACGCTCCCCCAACCCCTCCCATCACCAGCCCAGCTCCAAGGAATCTGGAAGAGGCACGCCCACAACGCATCGACGACGCACCCTGTCTTTTTCACCGAGCGGCTGCGCAAGTCGAAGCCAACGTCTCTCGGGTCTGCGGCGGCGGCGGCGTCGGGGATGGAGTCGAGCAGTCCGGTGGCGCATGGGTATGTCTATCAGGAGGCGCGGAGTGGCGCGAATGCGCCGAAGCTGTAAATGGAAAGCATGCTTTTCGTGTCGATTTGTTTCAAGAGTAAGTTGCGGTGATGGTAATGGTGGGGATGTCAATGTTGAGAATAGGATTCTAATGGCAATTTTCCAGATGCTGTTATGAGCAGCGTTGTTCGTTCTAGTAGGTAGATATTCGTTTGGCTGGCGTGGCGGTAGTTGAGCTACGAGATTCCACGAGAGTTAATGGCAGGCTGCGCATTTCCGGCTCAGTGCAAAGAAAAAGGCTTTACTATTGATACCAACAAACAACCTGGTCGAAGAATGAGAAGAAGCGTCGCGCTGATTATACCTTAGCTCAAAGTCATGACAGTCCTGTGTCCCATTGACCGCGATTAAACCCCAACAATTAACCATCAGACCCGTTGACTCCCAATAAAACAACCAAACCCCAACTAGAAGTACAAGTTGCAGCATCAAGGCTTTGCCGCTTCAGTCGAATCTCAAGGCAAAACCCAAATAGAAAGGAAAAGAAACACGTTCCGCGACTGGGCGGTCTAGCCCTTGACCGAAATGACAATAATCATGATGATGAGAGCCACGACCAGCGTCAGCAGCGCCATGAGCTTGACATTCTTCCACCACATCTGCCTCTTGAGGCCCCTACTGCGCACCCGAAAGTCGCGCGCGCTGCTCCCCAGCCTGTCCGTCTTGTCGACGAGCAGGTCGATCCTCTCGCCGCGCTCGAGCAGGCTCTCAATATTCTTGGTCATGATGCCTCTAACATCGTCAATCTCGCGCTTCGCGTTGCCAATCGCGTCGTTCATGCCGCCGCTCGTCGTGCCGAATTCCACCATCAGGCTCTTCATCTCGGCGTTGAACGAGGCGGCGCCGTAATTGGGCAAGTCGGCGAAGTCGGTGTGCTCGGGGAACTTTTCAAAGAAGCGCTTGCGAATCTCGAGGAGGTAGCCAAACGGCACGCGGCGGCCCAGCGAGGCGTCGGCGATGACGAGAAACGTCAGGCCACCGGCGCCCGGATGGTCGGGGTGGTCGGAGGGCGCCTCAGCGACATAGTGGATTTGGTGCTGGCCGTGGGTGTAGGTCAACTTCTGAGGTGTCGCGTGCTCGATCTTGGGCAGGATGAGGGAGGCGAGCGAGGAGGTTTGTGACGAGGCGGAGGTGGTGCACTCGGAGAGAATTGTGGTGTTGTGAGCGATGCAGGAGCTGTGGTTCGTTAGCAACCATCAACAGACCCCTAAGGAACAGGATAGAACGGGAAAAGGAGTGGCTCACTAGAGCAGAGGAGTCGCGCTTGACGAGGACGCCATTGTGGCGGCAGGAGCTGAACTGGTCAGGACGAATGGACGATTCGTATCGCGGATATTTGTGTTTTAGCAAGGTGGAGGGCAACAGGAGGGCATGTCAGAGCAGCAGGCTGCAAGGTTGTGAGTTGGAAGAGTGTAAGAGTGTTGGAGCTTGGCGCAATCGAGGAACTGATTCGGTAGCACTCACAGCGCCGAAGCTAAGCTATGACGAAACGACACCCACTGTTTGCCGCCTTGGCTGCAGCGCCCGGCCAAACGCTAATCCGGGCTCCGGCCGGCTTTCGTGAATCGCCTCCAAAAAAGTTTTGTAAAATTCTGGGTATGGCTGGCCATCGTGTAAGATAGAGGGTACAGGGTGTGGCAATAGTCTTATCTATCTTTTCCTCATGCCTTTCTCATGCTTTTCATCTTTTCTCAATCATATTCCTGACGAATTCACTGGCGGCTGGTGTTGAGCCGGTCCGTTACTTTGTTCTTCTTCTTATCACGACCATATCATGATACTTGCCGCCTGTCTGCCGTCATGAGAGCCCTGGCCCAGACCGGCGCCTTCAGAGGCCAGCTCGGAGCGGCATGTCTGCGTCTGCGCCACCTCTCGACCTCGTCTCCCCTGTCACGACTCCCTCCAAAGGCCACTCAAAGCAAGCCAAAGCCCGTAAAACACAGGCCCACAACACACAAATCAGTCTCAAAGAAACTGGAAACAAAACTCGCGGAAACAAAGCTCGCGTCTCACTCTCGAGTGGATTCGGTAAGCTCATTCATCAAAAGCTATGAGGAGAATTCATCTCACAGATACACCCAGCTTAGCCAGGGCCATGATCCGAGTGCCAGGTTACGGTTCGACCATGGCCAGTACAGCGGACGGCATAAAATATTCCGCTCGACTGTTCTCGGTCGCTTTCAGGGCGTGCTCAGCCGCCTTGGGGCCGCACAGTTTGGCGTCACTCTGGGCGAGGATGAGCTGAGTCGGCATGCAGCTCTTTTCATGGACGCCATCGACCGTGCCTTTGCGTTGGCGGAGAAGGGCGTCACCCGTCGAGACAGGAATCCTCTGTTCTGGAACCTGCGGGACGCCTTCATCAACAAGGATGTCAAAGGCCTGAGCAAGGAGGTCCAGTATTCATTCCAGTCCTTCATCGTTGGCCAGCGGTTCTCCAAGAACATCAAAGAGAGCCACAAACGTCTCCTGGACTTTCGATTTCCGCACGAATGGTTTCCTGCTACTCGGATGATGCAGCGCACGATCCATGTGCACGTCGGGCCTACCAACTCTGGCAAGACCTACAACGCACTCAAGGCGCTCGAAAACTCCAAGTGTGGAATATACGCCGGCCCCCTTCGACTGCTCGCCACGGAGGTGTACCAGCGCTTCAAGGCAAAGAATATCCCGTGCGCGCTCATTACGGGCGAGGAAGTACGCATCCCCGAAGACGCCGACCAGTACTTTTCGAGCTGCACCGTGGAGATGATGCCCCTCAACAGCCGCTTCGACGTCGCCGTCATCGATGAGATTCAGATGATTGCCGATCACGATCGAGGAAACGCCTGGACGACCGCCGTGCTCGGAGTGCAGGCCAAGGAGGTCCACGTGTGTGGCGAGGAGCGGGCTGTCAATGTGATCAAGGCCATGTGCGCCAGCATTGGAGACAAGTGCGTCGTTCACCGATACGAGCGCCTGAGCCCTCTCAAGACGATGGACAAGGCGCTGAATGGGGACTACAGTAGTCTGCAGAAGGGAGATGCCATTGTGGCATTCAGCCGTCTTAATCTTCATTCGCTGAAGCAGAGGATTGAGGAAAAGACTGGCAGGCGCTGCGCCATCATCTACGGATCATTGCCACCAGAAGTCCGTGCCCAGCAGGCTGCCCTCTTCAACGACCCCAATAATGACTACGACTTTGTCGTCGCCAGTGATGCGATTGGCATGGGCTTGAACTTGGAGATCCGGCGCGTGGTGCTCGAATCGGTTACAAAGTTTGACGGCAGCCAGAATCGACTGCTGACGTTCCCCGAGATCAAGCAAATCGGAGGCCGAGCGGGACGATATAGATCAGCGCAGAACCCCGACGGTTCGACGGACGAGACAGAAAAGGTTGGGCTGGTCACCACTATGGACAAGGCCGATCTACGAAGTGTACAACGGGCCTTTCAGAGGACCGTCGACGACATCGAAGCAGCCTGTATTCAGCCTCCCGCTGGTATTGTCGAGCGATTTGCCTCCTACTTCCCGCCAGACACACCATTATCCTACATTCTCAAGAAGATCCAAGAGACGGCAACGGTCAGCTCTCTGTACCGGATCGGCTTGGGTAACGATATCCTGGAGATTGCCGACATTATCCAGGACATCCCTCTCACCATCCACGATAGAATGACCTTTTGTTACCTGCCCGTAGCGCTCCGTGCAGAGAGGGCCGTGGAAGTGCTCCGAGCCCTTGCACGAATCGTCGCCACCAACTCCAAGGGCGATCTCCTCGACATTGAGGAGATACCGCTAGAGTTCCTCGACATCAGCTTTGAAGAGTTTGCAGGCACCGGGCAGCAGTACCTGTCGAAGCTGGAGTCGCTGCACGTCGCCGTGAACCAGTACGTGTGGCTGTCGTACCGGTACGCGGGCGTCTTCCGCAGCCAGGCACTTGCCTTCCACGTGCGGACGCTGGTGGAGGAGAAGCTCATGGAGACGCTTGAGCGCCTGAATTACAGCGACGAGCAGCTGGAGCACAAGCGCAAGAGCAAGCGCTTGATGGCCAAGTCGTGGAATGCCAACAGGACGGCGCTGGGCGAGGACCGCGCGGAGGAGGCGGAGAGGCTTCCTGATGAGGACCTGGTCGTGGACGAGGTTGTTGAAGATGGGCAGCAAGAGCTCCGTGCTGCGTCGTGAAGGACGGGTATCCTCGTTTGGTGCATATGGGGGGAAGTGTCCGAGTATATCACACATGGGATCACGACGGATAAATTACAGACCACTTGGAAGGATACGGCATACGGCATACACTATTTCTATTTGGACAAAGATAAGCAGAGTCGGAGTTGGCTTGGATGCATTGTACGATTATGGGGTAAAAAAAGAGAAAAGCTGTATGACTAGATAAGACAGCGTGGGCACAGTTCACGAAGCAAATGGCGTTTTGGGGGGGTTGTGAGCAAACTATGATATATTCAGACTATATTAAGAATACATCAAGAAAGATGATTTGGGCTGACGGTTGTTTCCCAAGTTTGAAGTACCTTGGAGAATGAGCTGAAGAGACGATTGCAAGTGACTGATTGTGCCAAGGCTGAACTTAGCAAACACGCCTCATTATTTGACGCCACTCCCCCAACACTTGCGATTTGTCTGCCACTCAAGCCTTTCCTCAATAGAAAAGGTGAAATGATCAAAAGCGACATGTACTGTCTGGTGAGCTTGCGAGGTAGGTATTACCTTGATCAGCAGTCCGAATATCATCACTCAAACATGTCAGCGTTGAAAGCGAACCAAATCATGGCAATCTCAGACACAGCTACCCTAGACAAGCAAACTCATGTTACTTGATTGAATCCAACAACGTAGGCAAAGTGAAGAAAGACAAAGAGATAATACCATGGGTAGAAAGACCCCCTTCCCTGGGTTAAGATCCCAGCATCCCAGCATCTCTCCGCAGAGACAAACAGAAAAGGCCTCCACCAACCCGCATGGCCGCTCATTCAGCTGAGCGTCGTGTGTCCTTACAATCCCGGCACTCCTCACTTCTCACTTGCCATGTCCTCCCTAGTCGGCCGCGTCCGCCTGGACCCGATTGGCCGAGCCGAGCCGTGTCTCTTGTCTGCGTCTCTGCCCCCCCCCCCCCCCCTGGTCTCCTTGTCCGTTGTCTTACTTGTCCCAGCCTGGGCTGAAGCTGAGGCCATCTTGTCTGGATGCAGTGCTGCCCAGCTTCTCCTCGTCTGGCTTACTGTACCTGACTTGGAAACTACGAGTATCTACCTACGAGTATCAATATTCCTCAGATGTGGTATCCCGCTTATGGCTATCGACACTCGACTCCATCTTCACCTTCATCACCATCACTGGATTCACCAGGCACTCTGTACCGGTGACTTCACTTCTGCCCATCTGACACCTGTCTCGCCCTGCCACGGCGCCGCCCAGAAGCTACACATCAAGTACCGGTACCTGAGGCGGCCTGTAGTGTTTATCGCTCCACCGCCTTCCGTCTCTCATGATTGGCACTCTTGGCCTTAAGCCTCTTGCATCAATAGACTTCAGAAGCCATTCCTTCGCTCTCTCAACAATTTATTCCAACGTATTCTACTCTCTAGCCGTTGACTTTTCTTCTTGTTCTTCTCCCCTTTCTTCTTCTTCTTGTTCTTCTTCTTCTTGACGTGGTTTATGCCCTGATTATTGTCTAGTCCTCACTGACTGATCCATCTACTTTCTTCGTCTTCTTCTTCTTCTTCTAGCTCTACTTTCACCTCTTCTCTCCCAACTGCTTGCTCCCCTTCTCCTCCTCCTTCTTTTGAGACTACCTATCTTCTCCCAGTCACCCAAGCCACATCAGTCTTTGGCACGTCGATAGCAGGTTAGTCCACACACTCTCTCTCCCAATAGACTCTCCATAAACTGACGATCCCCTCAACAGCCACCATGGAGCACAGCTCCAAACGCAGCTTCGTCGTCCCCTCCTCGGCATACAGCTACCGTGCCCCCAGCCCGCCCGTCATCGGCGTGCCAGTCAAGAACCGCGACGACTCCCAGATTGTCCTCGAGCCCTTGCACGGCCGCGTCGACCCGCACCTCATCTCCAAGGAGACCCTCGCTATCATTACTGGCAACAGGAAGCAGGTCTCCGTCGACAACACTTGGCGGTGGAAGTACGAGCATCGCAGGGAGGCCCAGCGCATCCTCGACTACCTTTACCTCGGCCCTACCAGCGTCATCCGCGACCATGACTATCTGCGCCGCGAGGCCATCACCATGATTGTTGTCATTCGCGACGCTCGCGCCCCAATGGCGCTCGGCAGCTTGGCCAGGGCAGCAACAACACTTGGTATTTCTGCTTGCTACCTCGATGTCGACCCCGTCCATATACTGGCCTCCTTTTACAAAATCCTCTCTGTCATTAACGACCATCTGCTTTCCAATCACTATTCTAGTAGAATGAAGGTGGCAGACGGCCCTCGCGGACTGGGCAAGGTTCTGGTCGTCTGTGATTCAGGCACTGAGCGCGGCCCCCCTCTCGTGGTGGCATATATCATGGCCGTTTTCGGAGAGGACGTCATGACGGCGCTTCAGTTTGTCAACGTCCAGCGTTTCTGCTGCACTTTTTCCGAGGAGGCCAAGCGCGCATTGTTGACGTGGGATGGCTTGCTCAAGGCCGGCGCCTTCGTGGCCATGCACTCTGCCCACGACGACATGGCTGCTTTCCCTGATGAAGCTGCATGTTACAAGACCAGCATCAAGCGCTCCATCGACGACATGATGGAGGATGACGATGATGTGAACATGCAATGGAATGCCTCTACCGATGGCGAGCGCTTCGAAGGTCGCGAGACCTTTGTGCCGTTTCAGGAAGTCAATTATTGACGGGAATGGGGTTTACGCATTGTACAGGAGGGATAGTGGTGTAAATAAGGGGTAGTTGATGTCCAACACTCACTTGATGTTATTGGGATACAAATGTGGCGTTACGGTTATGATTCGAGATACCAATTTGCTGCACGTTTGGCTGTCCGAGCTTTTCGGAGAGCATTAATGTCCATAGCAGAAAAAGCACTGTTTTTGTACAAAGCTGCTTGTATACCACTGAGGGCGATATAGAATGATGAAGAAGGGGTATTGCATGTCAAGACTCGGGTACGACACAGACAAGGAAACGACGTCTGCAGACGCGGCACCGGAAAAGGGGATGGTTTTTTGGGTAGATGGCGTTTTGAATGCACTGTCTCTATGGAAATACGAATAATGAGTATACTCGTTCTTTGGTGTTTTCATCTCCGCTGTGCCTCGTCACAACTGTTAATTATTTCGTCTATATGTTACATCTGCCTGATCAACCGCTTGAAGAAGCGTAGAGATATGACAGAGAAGTGTGCTTTCTCTTAATTTATCTACTACGAAATCTGTTGTGTCTTGACTCTCATGAATAGGCTCTTGAAGTCTCGCCTTAATCCCATCTCATCCCATGATACCCTTCTATCCCGTCTTCCAACCCCCTATTCAACCTCAACGTCCATCACCACGTACACATCCACAACCGCATCACATTCTCCAATTCACAACTTCACGCACTCTCACCCAGCAGAGCTCTAACCATCAAAGTGAGAATAACACACGGGGAATAAAAAAGTAAAACGCGAAATGGTCGCCTGCCTGCCACTTGCCAGACTGCGAGTTCAGTCACCGCCAGTCCAGTCACCACCAGCCCTCCCCCCATCCGCCAGCTGGCTCACAGAAAAAAAAAAAAAAAAGCTCGACGCGTCTTCCACCAACATTTTCATCCGATCTCCGTTTGTTGTTGTTGTTGCTGTTCTTCTTCTTGCTTCCATGAGTTTACCTGGTTGCCCTGTTCCTCCCACCCACAAGTTTCCAACTTCCGAATTCACATCATCCACCACCACCGTCCCCCGTTCTACCTGATTCTCGTGGTTGACAACACTCTTCTGCCAACCGCAATCTCAAACCCCTTAGTCTCACCACACATATTTCTGTTACTCATTGTCTTCTGTCTGATCGTCATCGCCGTTTGTTTCACTCTCTCAGAGTATCCCCGTCGCCGTCTGTGCATCGTTGGGTGACCTCTCTCACCTCTTCTGTCTTCAGTGCTGCTCAGATCGCCAGCAGTCCTCCTGAGAGTGAGAGACTTTGCCCAAGAACCATTCACTTTGTGTTTACCGCGACGATACTCCAATATTCGGCTCATCAAGCCTCAATAGTATGTTCCTCGCGTCACCTCGTTCACCAGATGCTAACCAGCCAGCTCAACAGCTTGAATCGTTTCACTTGAGGCTCCAGCCCATCTGAACAAACCCATCAACCCATTTCGTGGCAGTCATCGTCCCTCGTCTGAGAGGAACAGTCACCATGTCGTACGACGATACCCCAGACGTCGTCTTCAACCCGCAGGATGAGCCTCTGCCCGCTCCATCCGACTTCTTCGCCCATCTCAGCCTGGTGCCGCGTTACTATGACTTGCCCCATGGCGATCCGCGTTTCGATCAAGAGCCCGGTCAGCAAGTCGATGATCCTATGCAAATCGACGGTAAGTCACCGATGGTGCCCTCCATCCCTCATCACAACAAGGCTTGACTAACAACTCTCCAGGCACTCCACCTCCTGATGCTGGATTCCTGGCACAAAGCCACCGGGCCCGCGTTGCTCATCTCCCCCAGCCTACCCAAGGCCAGCAGCCTGCTGCGCCTGAGGCAGAGGAAGCAGCAGGCGGTGAGGCCATGGATCTTGAAATTCCTCCCTTGTTCCCCAACTGGTCTGAGCGAGACATTGCCCAGGCGATCTTGACCCCAGAGGCCTTCTCTTGGTGGGCGGCTAAGGACGAGCTGGCTAAGAGAGGTCAGCTTCCTGATATTCCTCACGTCTACCCTGCTGGACACCCCAACAATCGTCCTGCTGAATCTCTTGCAACGGACGGAAGACTCATCGAGTGGGAGGACCTGCACCTCGGTGTCCGCTGGCTGCTTGTTCTCCGCCTCAGCGAGCAGCACACGTTCACCGTCGCTATTGTTTCTCAGCTCAAGCTCTCCCACCACCAGCTTCATGACTTTATCACCAGCTATGTCGACCATTGTGAGGCGTGGAATGAGTTTGAGTTGACCGTCTCTTCGAGAGCTAAGGGCCTTGAGCTTTGGGATGAGGAGGCAGAGAGAGCGCTCCTCAACTGGCTTCACGAGAAGCGTCCCCTTTTGCCCTACGACAGCCTCACCAGCGAGGATGTCCAGCTGGGCATTCGCTTCCTCTACGAGCGCTGCATTGTGGATGGCGGCGTCGACCTGGCGGCCTGGTTTGAGGAGAAGGACAAGAAAGATTTTGCCCGCATTCCGATTGGATCTCCCATCATGAGAGACTGCCTGGACCACAGAATTCTCCGTCGTGCTGCCGCCGCCAAGCTGCTCCCCATCAAGAAGATTGAGGAGGCCATCAAAGACCTCGGAAGACAGAAGCGTCTCAGAGCTCAGTCTGCCATGATGAACAACTCCATGAGGAGCGATGCCTTTCTTGGAACTCGTCAGGCCCGCGTGCCCTGGGAGGCCAATCCTGAGCCAGCCGACGTCGAAATGTCCGTTGAGGCACAGACTGTCATGGACACCATTTTGACTGGCGCGACCAGTGACGAGCCGATGCAGACGCCCATGTCATTTCACCAGAGACAGCAAATGTCGGAAGAGGCCCATCACACACTGAGGCGCATCGTCCCAGAGCTTCAGCCCATTATTGCTCCAGGCGGACTGGCCAAGACTCAGTGGGAGATTGACAACGGATATCCCCATGGTTTCGTGAGTTTTGACGTTGCTGTTCCGTGGTTGAGAACCTTGATTGACTAACGCCATATATCATCCGCAGGACTGGGAATATACTCCTCTTCATTGGGGCGATCATGCCGATGCGATGGAGACCGATCCTACCCCAGAGGAACTGGTGAACCCGCAGCCTTCTCGCGTGGCCGCTCTCCGAGAGACACTCACCCAGAGACAAGGAGCACGCGCTGCTGCTGCTTCGTCCTCTGCTCAGTCGTCTGCCGATGACTCCGCCGGCCAAGAGGCCGAAAGGTATGAACAAACTTCCTCCACACCATCTAGTGCTGCACTGCTTCACAATAGCGCGCCAAGGTCTCGGATCGGAACTGCTCGAGAGCGCTTTATGACAAGCAATGACAGAGGGCAACTGATGGTTGGCATCGTGTCGGACATGTCTTTGGCGGCTGGTCAAGACCCCCAGAACCCTGGTCTTGCCACACAGCTCGCCGAAGAAGGATTTCCTGGCCAGCCAGAGGTGCCGATAGGAGCAGTGGAAGGAGAACCCGTATCAAGTCTTCCAAATCTGGATCCCACAGAGATTCTTGAGCCTGGCGACAACGTCGTCGCGCCGAAGCAACGAAGCAGGCGAGCACGCCGGCCCAGCGCCCGCGCCCTGGAGTCGTTGCAACTCGCCTTGGAACTCGAACAGAATGCTGAAACAATCCCCGAAAAGCCCAAAGAAAGGAAAACAGGCCGCACGTCAAGGAAAGAACAGCAAGGAGCCCAAGACGAAGGCCCCCAAAGCGCCCAAGACGCCCAAAGTGCCCAAGACTCCCCAGAAGAAGACGGCATCGCAGAGGTTGCCCGAGACGCCCCCGTCGCCCACGGCGGGCCCGAGCCAGCCAAAGAAGTCGGCGCCCAGGAAGCAGCGGCAACAGCAGCAGCAGGAGCCGCAGCACCAACAGCGCCAATAGTCGTGCCTCGCATGCGAGGCAGCTTGGTTCGGCCGACAGCCACCGCTCGGGTAAGTACCCTATCGCCGGGACTGGGACCGTTTCTTGTTCAGCAGCATTAACCTTGCCATAGACTGTCGTGTCACTGCCGACCGTGGACGAAGTTCCAACGGAAACAGAGGACGGACAGCCTGAGCCGGCTGTGGGAGAACCGGGCGCATCCGGATCGGGGGTGACGGCGGCCCCTGATCCTCAACGGATATCAGCCGCGAAACGGCGGTCGGAGAAGATTTTTGGCATCTCCAGGACGCAGGAGCTCAACTCGTGTCCGTCCCCTGTTTCCGAAACCTGCTCTGCGTGGTCTGCAGAAGTGGCCCAATTTGCTGTCGAGGCTCTCCAGGCCTCATATGCTCTCACGGCGGACCGGATTGTCCCGGGCTTGAAGGTTGCGCCGCAGCACGAGATGGACGAGGGCACGATCAAGGCGACCATCACCTCGATGGAAGCCCAGTACACGTGCTTCGAGTCCATGAGCCAGTCGGAGAATGGGCCAGCTGCCCAGAAAGCTGAGTTTGCCGGCGTTGCTGACGTGGCAACTTTTGCAGTCCACGCTGCCGAGGCTGCTTTCGCCTTTGAGGAGGAGAAGGCCGTGGAGGGCTCTGAGGAAGCATCGGGGCCGGAAGAGCAGCATCCACGGCCTGAGGAATGAGGGTCGGCCTCCATGCTTGTTTTTTTCTTCTTCTTTTTTCTTCTTCTTTTTTCTTCTTCTTTTTTTTTCTCCTCCCGATTTGTTTCTCTTGTTCATGTAACCACTGTTAGAGTCGACTGTACGGATACCCCAAGAAAATTCATAAAACCCAACGCAACTTTTGCTGCTTTATAAAGTGAGTGACTTTCCAGTATTCCATCAGAATAGCATCGCTATTACTGCTGGTGCTGCTGCTACTAATTCTAGCTACCGGTAAGAGATTTGACTCTCTGCTACTATCGCTAGATTTCTCTAATCTCAGTATAACCATTCTTGGAGATGATATAGATAGAGTAGCTGAATCTCCCTTACCAGCGCCTAGGCTCTATAAGTATGAACTTGAGGTGCTGGATAGCCACTCTCTTGTGTAAAGGATCGTAGTCACTGTTCACCGCGTCACCTGGTGATTCTCGAGCTTGCTTCCCGGCCTCAATCGAAGTGACTCTTCTGCCGTGAGATAAAGGTGGCAATTGAGCAGACGTAAAGGTATCACAGAGTCATAGCACTCGTGCCAACCAAAATAGCATCGAATGTAGGTATGATGTGCTGTCAAGGAAAAGTGCAGATTGCCAGGCATTCGTCCGTCTCCCACATGAGCTGTAGCAAGCCGCACGTGCCTCGCCTTCCTTCCTTCCTCGCGAGCAAATCGGTAATCTTCAGCCTCGTCCACTGTGAAAGCATTCACCGCCCTCGCATCTTCTTTTTTATGCCTTCCTTCCCCAGTTCCCTCAGCCTTCCTCGCCCTCCTTCATCTTTGTTGCTTCTCCTTTGCCCTTCACTCCCCGTCCTGCTCTGTCTAATCCTCACGTCTGATCACAAAGAAAGCTTCGCATACTGGCACCAAGGAGAGCCGAGAGAGATCTGCAGCTACCCATTGCTTCTCACTTCAGGCTGTTCTGAGCCATCTGTCTCGCGGAAGTTGCTGAGGACGCCCAGATTTATCACCAACTGCAACAGAGCCTTCCAAGCAAACACTCACTCAGGTACCCCCTTTCAACCCAAGACTCTGGTTAATGAGGTCCTATTGCTGTAGTCGAGCTCGCTCACTTACTATACCGACACAGATGGATGAAGCTGTTTCTACTCCTTCTGCACGCGGGGAAGATGCTGCCGCGAAGCCCCCAGAAATAGTTCTAGCAGTACGATCGAAAGAGCCAAATGAAGAGACGTACGAGGATTCACAGATCACGATCAACACAGAAGACTCAGAGCATCTTGAGCTTGAAGCTGGCGCCGACGATGTCGACCAGTCAGACGAGACGTCGAGCGCACAAAAAGCACCGGTGGCGAAGAAGAGGAAACAAAACCTGGCATTTGAGGACTGGTTGCAAAAGAATCAGCGGGAAATCACCACGGTATCGCAGGAAGATCTCAACCGCCATATAGACAAGATATCCGTGGCAAGACTCGTCAAAGTCGGCATCGACCAGAAGATAATTGCGAGTCCACGCGAGTACCAAGTCGATTTGTACGAGCGGGCAAAACAGGAGAACACCATTGTAGTTCTGGACACAGGTATGAACTCTCATCCCTCGCAAGTCGATCTATGGCGGCTGACGTGATCGCCTCTACACAGGTTCGGGCAAGACATTGATCGCTGCTCTTCTCATGCGACATATTCTTCAGAGGGAACTGCAATATCGTGCTGACGGACACAAGCATCAGTATGCTTTTTTCCTGGTGGAAAAGGTCGCCTTGTGCTTCCAGCAGCACGCCGTTCTCACATGCAATCTTGAGTTCCCCATCGGCAAATTCTACGGCGAGATGACTGGCATCATCCGAACGCAAGAGTATTGGGATAAGCAGTTTGCCGAGCACATGGCCTTTGTGTGTACTGCGCAAATCTTGCTCGACCTGCTTGCTTGCGGGTTCATTTCCATGAGTCAGATCAACCTAATCGTCTTTGACGAGGCGCATCACGCAAAGAAGAGCCATCCTTATGCGCGCATCATCAAAGATCACTATCTCCGCGCCGGGAACGAACGTCCTCGTATACTGGGTATGACGGCATCGCCAGTTGATGCCTTGACGAGGGATGTTCGCTATGCTGCCGCCGAATTGGAGAGCATGCTGTGCAGCAAGATTGCCACCATCACAGACGACGCCATGATGGCAAGCCAGGCGCACCGGAACCAGGTCGAGGTCAAAGAGTTTTATGACAGGCTAGAAGACCCTGAAAACTCGAAAACGCGACTTTGGGGCATAATCTTCCAGCACGTCCGCGGCAATCCACAGTTCAAGGGTCATCTAGAGTTTGCAGCCAACGCATCCTCAACCCTGGGAACGTGGTGCGCCGACCGCTACTGGAAGCTTCTCACCACGGACGCTGAGATGATCAAGTTGGAGGCAAGGACTGGGCGTGATAGCTTCGATGTCGATGTTACCGCTAGCGATGAGGCGATGGCGGCTGTGCGTCGAGCGAGGGAGGAGATTCGGGACTACAACCTCGGACCCATCGTGAGCGGTTCCCCGGAACTGTCGTCCAAGGTCAAACTGCTGCACGAAGTTCTCGAGGATGCTTTTTGTAAGCGCCAAACAAAAAGATGTATTGTGTTTGTGCAAGCAAGGTCGACCGCTTTCATTCTAGCAGATCTATTTCAGCAGCCGGGGATGTTGATTCCGGGAATGACGGTTGGATACATGGTAAACCTCATCCAAGTACCCCTTTCCCTCAGGCCTATAACTAATCTTGCTGTTAGATTGGTTCTCAATCGACATCCTCCAGCGCTGCATACATGTCCTACAGGGAGCAGATCGTGTCTCTACAAAAGTTTCGATACGGTGAAACAAACTGTTTGTTTGCCACCTCCGTCGCGGAAGAGGGAATCGACGTGCCAGAGTGCGACGTCATTGTCAGGTTTGATCTCTACTCGTCTGCCATTCAATATATTCAGTCCAAAGGCCGAGCGCGTCAGAAATCGTCTCTTTACATCAGCATGATGGAAGAGGGCAATCTGGATCATATGCGCAAACTCAGGCGTGCAGTCAGGGATGCTCATGCGCTGCGGCAATTCTGCTCTGCTCTGCCCGAGGACCGAAAGGTACAAGACTTCGTCATTACTCCTGAGCTCCTCGTTTCTCATGAGCAAGCCACCCAGAAGACATTTGCCATTGCCGAGACGGGTGCTCAGCTCACGTTCATCACGAGCTTGGATGTGCTGGCCAAATTTGCATCGTCCTTTCCGAACGAGGCCGAAGACGGCATAATGCCGTTGGAGTACATTGTCAACACCGTTGGCAAAAAGTTCATTGCTCGAGTGGTCCTACCAGAAGGATCGCCAATCAAGACGATCACGGGAGAAGCCCAGCAAAGCAAGCAGTTAGCACGATGTTCGGCTGCATTCGAAGCCTGTGTGCGTCTGATTCAGAAGAAATACATTACCGGGAACTTGCAGCCCGCATTCGCCAAGAAGCTGCCCGAGATGCGCAATGCACGACTAGCCCTCTCATCAGACAAGAAGTCCGAATATGACATGCGAATCAAGCCGGATTTTTGGTCCTCTTGCCTCGGCCCAGAGCCTCCAACTAGCCTGTATCAGACCGTCATCACCCTCGACCAGCCGGATGCACTTGGGAGAGCATCTCGGCCCCTGATACTTCTGACTAGGAAACCATTGCCTGACATCCCAAGCGCCCCCCTGTACTTTGGTAGCGGCAGGACATCTAATGTGCGTCTCTCAAATTCACAGACATCATTCGAAGTCCTGCCTCATCAGATTGAGGCCCTTGCAAGTTTTACGCTGAGATTGTTTGCCGATGTGTTCAGCAAGGAGTATGAGGCCAAGACACATGAACTACCATATTTCGTTGCCCCTGGCTTGCCAAACGATGATGAGGTAGTCGAGATAGACTGGAAAGCCGTGCAATTCGTCCACGAAAACGAGAACCTTGAGTGGAAAGATGCTCCTGAGAAATTTTTCGAGGACAAATTGGCTATAGATCCGTGGGACGGGTCTCGGAAATACATCCTGCATGGTATCAATCCCGACATGAAGCCATCTGATCCAACACCAGAGGGCGTTCCACAGCCAAAGAGCCTGGCATACAAGCGGGTTGAGCACAATATCAAGGAATACAGCAACAGCCTCTCTTTCAACTCCAGAAAGAGAATAAACTGGACAGATGACCAGCCAGTCGTCAATGCGGAGCTTCTTCCCATACGCAGAAACTTCCTAGACGAATTCTTTGTAACTGACGATGGTGATGGTACTTGCTACATCATCCTCGAGCCGCTTCGTGTGTCGCCGGTAAGTAAAAGCAATTCCTGCTCGAGTTGCGATCCCGGACGAAGATTCTGACCTGGATCCAGATTTATATAGATGCCGTCGCCATGGCCCTGGTCCTGCCTGTAGTAATGTACCGCGTCGACTCGGTCCTGATCGCTCAAGAAGCATGTTCCCTCGTCGGCCTGACTATCAGGTCAGACCTTGCCCTTGAGGCGGTGACAAAGGACAGCTTCAACACGGAAGAACACGGCGAACACCAAGTCGATTTTCAGCCCGGAATGGGTAGAAACTATGAGCGCCTAGAGTTTCTCGGAGACACATTCCTCAAGATGGCCACAACTATTTCTGTCTTCACTCTCTTTCCCACCGCAGACGAGTTTGAGTATCACGTCACGCGTATGGTGATGCTGTGCAACCAGAACCTGTTTAAGCATGCCGTGGAGAAGGGAATGCCCGCGTACATCCGCACCAAGGCATTCGACCGCCGGACGTGGTATCCGAGCAACATGACGTTGAAGAGAGGCAAAGCGGCCAAGACGGAATCGAAACACTGTCTGTCGCACAAGTCGATTGCGGATGTCTGCGAGGCGCTCATAGGAGCGGCTTATATGTCAAGCTCGCCGGGGGACATGGACATGGCGGTGAAAGCAGTTGCGGCCATGGTCTGCTCGATCAACCACACGATGACCAGTTACAAGGACTACTTTGCAACATTTACAGCTCCGAAGTGGTACAGCCAGCAGGCAACCGCCGCACAGCGCCTCACCGTGGACAAAGTGGCCGAAATCACAGGCTACCGCTTCAAGGCAGCGCCGCTCGCCCGCAGCGCCTTTCGACACCCCTCATACGTGTTTGAGAACAACATCCGAGACTACCAGCGGCTCGAGTTCCTGGGCGACGGGCTTTTGGATATGGCCATTGTGGATTTCCTGTTCAAGAGGTTCCCTGAAGCAGACCCAAAGTGGCTCACGGAGCACAAGACAGCCATGGTGTCAAACCAGTTCCTCGGCTGTCTCTGCGTCAAACTTGGCCTTCACAAGCATATCCTGTTGGCCACATCTTCTCTTCTCGGTGATATTGGACGGTACGCAGCCCAGCTCGAGCAAGCTGAGGAAACGGCTCGACAGACGTTGCGGGGTGACAATGCAGAAATTGCTGCTCCCTCTGAAAATTCTGAAGCTGAAGCAGAGTCGATCCCCCAGAATTTCTGGGTCGATGTGCCACAGCCGCCCAAGGTTCTAGCCGACGTTGTTGAAGCTCTGGTGGGTGCCATGTTCGTCGACTCGGAATATTCCTTCTCTGTGGTACTGGACTTTTTCACCAAGTTTATTCAGCCATACTTTGAAGACATGGCACTCTATTCGTCGTTTGCCTCGAACCACCCGGTCACAACGCTGGCACACAAGCTGGAAGCCGACTTCTGCTGCAACCAGTGGAAGCTCCATGTGGCCAGTGTGCCGGCGCCCGTGGAGGCGGGCATCGCGGTGGTGTCGGCCAGCGAGATTCTCTGCGCGCTCATGATTCACGGCAGGGTGGTTGCCCATGCAACCTCATCAAAGAGCGGCACTGAAGCCAAAGTGGCGGCTGCAAAGCTAGCGCTGGAGAAGCTCGCACTTGTACGAGACGTGGACCAGTTTAGAAGGGAGATGGATTGCGATTGTGGCAGCTCAGCAACCGGCCCGAACTAGGACAGGGCCGTCAACTCTCTAGACTAGAGTGTCGGGCCATGTTTAGGAGGGAAGACGAAGCAGGACATTACGAGGGCCAGCTGAGCCGTCACCTAGCACAGGGCCATACGGACGGCTTTTTTCTTTTTCGAGCCTTTTGTCTTCTCTCAATGCAGCTAAGCCTCGGCTCGCTGCAGCAGTTGAACTGCAGCTTCTGCTGGAAATGGCGATTTGTGACACTATCTCCGTCAGGCCAAAGTCCACTCAGATCGTCGATGGACAGTGAATACTGTACATACAAGCAACCCTGACGGTGATTTGGTTTGGTGGATCTTCGTATCCTGGTGGATCTACGGGCCAGGAACAGAGCTGACGAGATCTATCGATGGGGTCGATCAATTAGCTCAGGTACTAGAGGAAAGGGGAGAGGGGGAAGAGGGGCGTGCGGGCAAGGATGGTTGTCTTTGGGGGTCTTGAGAGATTGAGAGACGAGACGTGAGGTGACGTGACCTCTTGTTATCTCTCGTGGCCGGAGGGTGCCGGATGAACCTGGTTCTTCTCCTCTATCTTTTTCTTCGACCCAGTGATTCGGGGCGATTCCACATATTGTCAGGGACGTCCCTTGTTCGCGATGAAGGCTCCGGGGCGGGTTCATCAAGCAGATAACGCAATTCTTTTTTTCTTTGCTCATGTATTCGAGTCAGCTACCAAGCTATCAATTTCTTTAGCACCTTTTCCTTTACCTCATTCTTCACTCTCTGTTTCTGGTCAATTTAAAACGTGGCACCACGTGGACGGGCGTGAAATACATGCGAGACAAGAGCTGAAGTGCTCACGACTCAGTTCCTTGTAGTTTACCAAAATATGTCATGAGGCCAGCTTGATAGCATCTCATTCCTCTCTTGTATTCTCTATTTCGCAAGATTACATACACATGTAGCAGAGTCGTGTGGAGATTCAGGTGAGTAGTAAAAGTAGTAGTTTGCAAGGAGATGAACATGCATAACAGCTGGCTCAGATCGCCACTATACTACCTATACCTAGTATGCTGTCATGTCAAACCGAGTAAAGAACAGATGCCGCCTATATGCTTTCCAATATCACCCCAAATGTCGCAGTTCGAACGCCTCAAACTTCCAGGAAATGCAAGGAAAATAACAAAAGAAATGGTTTCCCCTATAATGCCGCGTTGTCGGGGGCACGGATGGGGAGAAGGAGAGAGATGCTTGCATAAGCTGCCTTGTCCTTTTGAATCACCGGCTTTGAAACCCGTTATTCTACAACCGTGATTCCCAGCGCCGTGGCCTCTATCTCGCTATTCTCCTGACTGCTGTTCTCCTGGCTGGAGACTTTGCGCCCCTTTCGAGCATCGAGCATTCTTCTCCTTTTGATATCCTTGCGTAACTTGACAATCGTCTTTTCGTCAAGCTGCTGCCCAGTTTTGCCCTCCGCAGATGCAGTGCCCTTCATGAGGCTGGAGATGAGCTCGAGCGCCCGCTCCTCGGGGAGCTCGTCGGTACGTGCGGAAGCCTCGGTATCGGAGTCGGAATCGTAGTCGTAGCCCAGAGCTAGCAATCGTTCGCGTTGGGTAAGCGGCCTTGAGGGGCATGATCGCAATTTTTGGAGGGCCAAAGGCACTCCCACGACAGATGCTTCGTCATCGCCCATTTCGGACGCGTCTGTTGCAGTCATGGGCATGCCTGGCCATTCAGGGGTGGAAAGACGATCTGAATCGTTGAATAGCCCTGGCAAACTCTTGCCGTTGTCACCAAATCCCTCGTCTCTGAACAAAAGAGCCTCGCCGTCACGGCCAACGTGAGGATACTTGCCACGAAAGGAGTCGACGTCCGAGTCTGAGATGCTAGTGGCGTCATGGCTGCTTACGCTGAGGCCTCGGCGACTGGGGGAGAAGAGATTGCAGATGGGCTGTTCCTCCACCGGGGTTGCGGGAGAGATGAAGATGGATTCGCCGCAAGAATCATCTCCCTTGCCAGTGAAGTCGGGAGCGCAACAGCTGTCGGCACCCCTGGATCGAAGATTTCGAGAGGAACCACCACCGAACGACATCTTGTTGAACAGCGAGGTGGCGGGTATGTCAATGGATGTATCGGCGGTGCCAACACTGAGAGTGCCGGGAAAGTTAGGACTGGAGTAGTCGGAATGGGCAAACGAAGATACAGACCCACGCTTGCCAAAGGTCCGCACGGAGGGCTGTCTATCTGTGTTGTCCAGCTGAAGATTGCCCGTGCTGCCGAAAGTAAACGAAGGCGCGTGCTCCGAGGTTGACGACGCAGCGTCATCCCAGTGCGGCACAGTCGGTTGAAGATGCTCGCCCGCGTACCTGTTGAACCGACTCCAATCGGTTTCGGCCTTGTGACGAAAGCTGTGCAGCTGGTTCGGCGAAGTCGGCGTCTTGCAGCGCTGCTGATATAGCTGCTTAGATCGGTCGGAAAGAGGTGGCAAAGGCGACTTGCTCATGGTTTCTCTTGCTGAACGAACGGACCCCGACGCGGGCCCAGAAAGGAGCTTACTACTAGGCAAGCTGCATTGCCGAGCTTTGTAGCGAGGAATGCCGGGCGGCGAGGCCGAAAGCCCATGGGAGAAGGAATCGTCCTCATCTCGCATGTAGCGGCCGTCTGCCGTCCTTGGAGCCTGCTGTGGGGTGGATGCCCAGCTGCCAGTAATGGAGATCTGTCCGTAAGAGCTTTTTGACTGGAGACGAGGGCTATGGATCTCATGGCTGCCGAAGCCGCCTGCCCTGTCAAAACTCTCGACAGCAGGGCTAATCCTTCCCCTTGACCTCGGCCGACAGCTCAGTGAGGCTTGTCGGGACGTGGGGCGGTCAGTAGGCTCGAGTTTGGGAGAGAATCTGTCCCTGTGGCGATCAAGTATCGCAGGTATAGCGTAGACGTGCCTGGAGTAGCTGCCCGAAGAAGCACTGCCCCGTGAGCCATGTAGAAGCGTCGCCCCGGCCACGGCAGGCTGAATGTTCCTGTCGGCGACGTCTTCGCCATAGTCACGAGAGCCGGATGCTTGGACTCTTGACCTAAAATCATATGGCTTGAGCTCTCCCTGAGCGTCGAGGATGTCGATAAAAGCCGAAGAGCGTCGGCGTGGGAGAGAGAAGTTTGGCGTCAGAGGGGTGAGCCGGTCGACCGCACCACGACTGTGCGGCCGTTCACAGTCGCCATATTTGGGAATGTTGTTCAGGGAAAGGCCGGCTTTAGAGCCGTTGCTACTGTGTCCAATGGCCTTGAGTGATGCTGGTGATCTAGCGTTCTCGGACGCTTTCAATGTCGTACCAGGTGATCCTTCGCTTATACCTATGAGGCGAGGCTTGAGCAACCTCTGCGATGGGTCTGGTGTTCTCGTTCCGTTTTCACGACTGGCCAAGACGCCTATGAGTAGTGTGAGAAACCTGAGAAAGAAGCCCTTATACCGAAGCAGTTGTTGGCGAAGACAAACCTCGAGCATTTGAGGAGATGGCCTGGCTCCTCTGTGAAGACGTTGTCTCAACAGAAGGTCGTTTACTCAAGAAATCGAGAAAACCCATGATGGCGACAGGCCTAGCATGGGGCTAGGCCCTACGACAAGGGGAGGATGGATATCGTCTTGGGATTCTCGTCACAAGCGATTATGTGCTGTTGCCACTCCCTCTGAGCCAGGTAGTCCGTCTGTTGAAGTGTAGGATTCGGTCCAGGGATGTCGTGTGCCAAATAAGCGTTGGCAACGATGGAGTGTTATAGATAGATTCAGGGTCTCATGATGTAGAAAGAAAGGAGGAGAACAAGGCAACATGGGGGGTCAAAGATGATATAAAAGAAGAGAGAGGGGTGACAAGGCAAGAGGAGAGAAGGGAGCCAAGGCCGTCTAAAGATATCTGGGGGAGACTAGCAGGTCAGCACTGGACCCCAAGTACTTGTACAGACAGGCACAGATTGGGGTCTGCACCCCCGAGGGCGTGTGCGGTAGGGGTGTGTGTTGGAAGCTGTCTGTGTCCTCCGGACTCCGTACTGCAACAGGCACACTGAGTTGCACAGAGCCGCTATTCCAGCAGCCGCAGCCAGGGAAGAGGCCACACAGCTTCTCTGGCTTGTGTGGATGGCTGCCTTGATCCCCTCGGCCATCCTACGGGCATCTGATCTCGCTGACGATGCCATAAAGAGGACTGGAAAGCTGGCCTTTCAGAGGCTGAGATGTTTGTCCGCCGCATACAACCGAATCCATCCGCAGGTATGGGGGTCCTTGCTCGGGGAGACGACGGCGAGAAAGAAAGCTGAACAACCTGCCATGTCCAGCTATTAGCAAACCTTTGCACCGCTGCGTCATGGCCGGAGGTGGTGGAACATGGAGAAGCGGGATACGGCTCTGGGTGCACGGACGAGGACGAGTCAAGACCACACGGGAGTGCAGCAGCACTGGTGCACGCATGTACAAGGCACACACCCGCTGCAGAGCCCAATCTTGGTCACCCATGGGTGTTACCCCTGGCAAGTCGGACAGAGCCAGCGGATCAGGACGCCGTCGACGCCACGTCGTCGGTCATTGAGCGCCAGCAGCCCGCACTACCAACTAGCAATGTGCGACTCCAGAGCCCATCCCGAAGGAAGGGATAAGAGCCCTGGATTGCGTGCCAGATTCACTCGAGTTTATACGCAGTAAACTGGCTCCATCTGTGATGCTTCGACAGCACTGAGAGCAGAGGTAGTATGGGCCCAAGAGAGATTTGCTGCTAGCCGAGATCAACAATGATGGGACACGCAAGGCTGGGCAAAGAAGAGACCCGAGACGGCAGAAGCGAAAAGGAAGCCCATGAAGAAAGAAGAAAAGAAGCAGACAGGGGTCTTCTGATATAGCTCAGGGCGCTTGGCGAGATGGTGCCGAGGCGAGAAACAATGGACAGGGGCTGGCCTGTGCTGATGAGGAGGAGGGGAACATGAATCTTCATGATGGCACGATCAAATGGTTGGATGGCCAGGACAACAGGGGTTTGGGCGAGATGAGCGCAGTACATGTAGCGTGCGTCTGGCAGTGGGGTACATGCAGGTACAGGCAGGCACAGGCGCTGAAGGCAGATGGAACAGCAGTAGTAGAAAATGAAGGTAGGTTGGCACGGTGCCAGCACGGTGCCAAGGGTGCCGGCACAGTACCATAGGTGCTAGCATAGTGCCAGCATAGTGCTAAATAATTACTTAGGTGCTAAAGGTGCTAAGCAGTGCCAGCTAGGTGCTAAATAGTGCTAATAAGGTGCTATTAAAGTGCTAAAATTCTGCTAAGGTGCTAATAAGGTGCTAAAGGTGCTAAAAGGTGCTATTAAGGTTTTATTACATGCTATAATTTAATTATATTAAGGCTAAGACTTAATACTTTATATAGGCATTAATAACCTAACTAGAATTAATTATTTAAAATAGAAAATAATACTATAAATAACTACTAATTACTATATTAATAAATATAAAGATAATATATAAATAATATTTAAAAAGATATAAAAATATTATATAAATAACTATATAAATAATATATAAATAACTGCATAGTTAATAAATAAGTATATAAATAAAGAAGAAATTAAGTGCTTTTAATTAAAGTATATAAACTAAATAAAACTATACTTTTTATAATATAGTAAGATATATTATAAGTATATATTTAGGCTATAGTTAAAAGATATAAGTTTACTTACTTATAATAGTATTTATTTATTTAACTAACCTCTTTTTAACTTTAAAAATGCAGACTAGCAGACTAGGGTATTTACTTTAATAAGCCTTAATATAAAGTAATAAAGGAAATCAAATTAAAAACTAAAAAACTAAAACTAAAACTAAAACTAAAAGTAAAAAATAAATTTAATAAATTAAGAATAAAGAAAATAAAAAGTAAATATTTACTTATTAAGATTAAGAGGATAGTATTATAGCACTACAGCCTAAATTATTTATATTATTAGCTATCTTAAATTCCTAGTTATTAATAAATAAATTAATAAGATTAAAGAGTTTTATATCTAGTTAAGGCTAAAAGTAGTTATATAGCTAGTAAATAGTAAAAGATATAGCATTATTATTAAATATACTATTACTATTAAAGGGGTTAGAGTTTAATAAGCTAGGCTTAAAGCCTAAGGGTAGTAGCAGTAGGCTAGGCTATATATAGTAAAAGATAAATATTAGTATTAATATATTAATAAAAAGAAATAAGACTAAGATAAGACTTACTAGTATTAGCTCTTATTATATAGTTAAAATATTAACTTATAAGGCTAATAGTATTATATAAAACTCTTATATAAGCTTTATAAATATATTTTCATTAATATAATACAGCTCCTTAAGCAGACCTTATATAATTAACCTAGACTTAATGCAGTTTTATAAACTAGTGTTTTTATTTTAATTATAAGAGTTAAAAATAGTATAATACTATTACTATTTATTCTTATCTAGGTTAAGTAAAAGATTAAGCTGTTTTTTAAACGCCTAGATATATAAAAGGCTAGTAATAAGGTTAAGCTAGATAGTAGTAATAAAGTATATGCTATGCCCTTTATACTTTTTTATATAGCAGTAGTTAATAATATTCTATATATAGTAAAAGACAGTCTTAAAGGACTTAGGAGTTAATAGGCTAAGGACTAAATACTAAAGTTCTACTATATAATTATTATTATTTAATATATTAATAAGCTTTAGGTGCTTTTTTATAACCTTTTATATATAACCTTAAAGGTATATTAGTTATTATATATTTAAAAATAGATAAATATAATAGTATATATATAAGCCTAATACTAAATAAAGTAAGACTTTTTAATCTTAAACTTCTCTTTTATTATATTAATAATCTAGATAAATTACTCTTAATTAATAGGTAAGGAAAGGTTAATAAGCTAGGTATAGTAGCTTATAAAGTAAGGACTATACTATAAAAAAAGCATAATAGTAATATAAAACTTAATTAGTTATATCTCCTTTTATAAAGCGTTTATTAAGAGATTAACCTTTAAGGGGTCTTATAAGTTAATTTTAACTATTATATTATACTACTTATTAATAATAAGATAGTGCTAATTTACTATATCCTATTTAAATAATAAAAGTAAATAATCTTAAAGGTAGATTAAATTATTATAAATAGGCTTTTAAAAGGCCTCTAGTACTAGTTCTTATATTCTTATAAAAGGGCTTCCTAGGCTTAGCTAACTAGGACTTCCTTACTAGCTGCTAGCTTTTATAAAAGCTTAGTAATACAGGTTTTAACTAGAGTTAAATAGTATAATACTACTTTATAATAACTTAATATTAGCTTTAGTATTAGAAATAATAAGAGGGATAGCAGTTAATTACTTATAAAGTAGGCTAAGTGTTTGCAGGTATATAACCTATATCTCTTATACTAATACTAAATAAATTAAGAGGTAATAGGTAATTAGATATTTTATATTTAAAGGATTTTTTAGCTTATTCTTATAGTATAGCTAAAGCTATTAATAATAAGTAAGCTTATATAGTTAGGCAGCTAGCTAATAGCACTAGAATACTTATAAAGCTAGAGGCCTTAAGTAAATTAAAATATAAGCTTAAATAGAATAGCAGCTTAAATGCTTTTATAATAGCTAGAATAGACTAACTAATATTTTTAAAGGTATATCTTAATATAGGCTGCAGGCATAATAAAGTTAAGCTAAATAGCCTAGGAGGCTAGGGGTAAGGATTATAAGTCTTTATAAGCAACTTAATGCTATTACCTTAATTATACTTTAAATAAGCGCTGCAGCTACTCTCCTTTAGCAGTATTTTAATAAATATAATAATAAAAAGCAGTAAGGGATAGGGGGTAAGGGAAAGGCAGAAGTAGGTATATATATAAATAAATTAAAGGAAAGAAGGATAGTAATAAAAGGCTTAATAATATAGTAACTAATAGTAAAGCTTAAATATAATATACTAAGGTTTAAGTTTAAAAATAAATATATATACTAGTTAGGATTTCTTATAAGCTATAGGCTATAAGAAAGTAAATATATAGCCCTAGCCTTAATAAATTATAATTAGTAAATTAACTTAAGGCATAATTTAATATAGAATTATATAAATAGTTTACTTTATATTAAGTTTTTTATTATTTACTAGTCTAGCAGTTTATAAATAATTACTTATTTAAGATAAGTCTGCTAGCTTTAAGTAAGTCTACTAGGTTTATATACCTAGCCTAGCTTAGTGGCAGTTAAGTTAGCAGGTATATACTTAATTTACCTACCCTTAAGCCTATATTTATAAACTTTAAGAAAATTTTTTAGCTTTATCTTTTAACTTTTAACTTTTATTATTATTATTATTATTATTATTATTATTATTACTATTATTATTATTATTACTATTACTATTACTATTATTATTCTGCCTAATTTAACTTACTTATTATTTTTATATAAACTATTAGCTTAACTAACTGCCTTAATTTACCCTATATATTAATAGCCTCTACTTAATCTCTTTTTACCTTAATAAGTTATATTATATTTTAGGCGCTTATACTATACTAGTA